GGATATCACTTCCAGGGGCGAGACGCGATATAGTTTCGCCGATCAAAGGGGGGAGGGTCGTCAATGCGGCCTGGTTCGCCTTGCGGCGGGGTGGGGACATGGTGGGGGGAAGGGCGGCGATGAGGAGGAGGAGGCAGCAATAGCCGGAGGAGGTTTGCGACAGGAAGCAAAGATAATAGCGAGTGGCGAGGAGGAGGGGGAGAAGGAGGAGGAGGAGGAGGAGGAAGAGGAAGAAGAGGAGGAGCAGAGCGAATGCCACCTGGGAGGAGGTGAAGGGGGGGAAGAGGCGGAGGAGGAGGAGGGAGGGGGGAGGGAGGGAGGGAGGGAGGGAGGGAGGGAGGGAGGATGAGGAGGAACTCATCCCTCCTGTTCCTCATCCCTCATCTTCCTCCTCCTTGTCCTCCTCCTCCTCCTCGTCCTCTTCCTCCTCTTCCTCCTCCTCCTCTTCCTCCTCCTCTTCTGACTGAGGAGGTGGAGGAGGAGAAGGAGGATGAGGACGAGAGGGAGGAGGAGCAGGAGGAGGATCACGATCATGAGGAGGAAGAGGAGGCCGAGGAGGAGGAAGAGGAGGAGGAGGAGTAGAAGGAGGAGGGGAGGAGGAGGGAGGAGGAAAAGGGGCATCTTGGCGAGCCCGGGGTCGTCTTTTAGCGTTTTGGGTGCATCGGGTGTCCTCTTGAAGCCTCTTGGGGGCCTCTTTGGAGCCGCTTGGAGGCATCTTGGGCGCCTATTGGGGCCATCTTGGGGCCTTCTTGGAAGCCTTGGAGCGCTCTTGGGGCCATCTTGGATGATATCGATCAGAAAGAGGGGGGGGCCCTATTTCGCCCCCCCCCCCCCCCGCCCTGGGGAACCCCAGAAGTCGCCTCTTGGGGCGCTATTGGAGCGCTCTTGGGCGCTCTTGGAGCCGTGTTGGAGTTCCCTTGAGTCTCTCCTGGGGCCTTCTTGGAGCCATCTTGAGGCCTCGGATGGCCATCAGCAGCGAAAAGGCGAGAAAGCACAACTCACGGATTTCCCTTAAGTTTTGGAAGGCTGTTGGCTTATTGGGGGCCCCCTTTTAGGAGGTCTCGGAGGCCTCTTTAGAGCCGTCTTAAAGCGTTTCTGGGGCCGCTTGGAGCCTTTTGCGGGCCATCTCGAGGCCTTGTGCGCTATCTTGAGCCATCTGGGAGCTCATCTGGGGCTGTCAGGGGCCCTCTTGGAGCCGCGCTCCAACGCCTTGCCGCCCCCCCCCTCCCCGTCCGAGTCCAGGGGAGGGGTAGGGGGAGGGGCCAAGCTACCCACCCGCCCGCAAGCCGTCTAGCTCACTCCCACACGCCCTCCCAACACATAAGTAACACCTGAGCCTGAGCATGTTCAGCGGTCGTCATTGGATGTGCATCTATTGGGAACCAAAGCCGACCCCAGGTGCGCGACACTTGGGCGAGATGCGCCACGCGTGCCAGGGGCGCCACGCGCGCCAGGCACCCATGGGGGCCAAGCGTGCCAGGCACGCCTGGTGCGCCACATGCGCCACGTGCTCCGAGTGCGCCAGGTGTGCCACACAATCCAGCCGCGCCAGGTGCGCCATGTTCGGGGCAGGGTGCGTCAGGTGCGCCTGCGCACGTGACAGCACATATCGGGAAACATGTCGGCCCCCGCCATCCTTGTTGAAAACCAATGCCCATCATTGTGTATGGTGGGCCTGCGAAGCAGGCCACGCGCCACCACCCCCGTCCTTGTCAAACACCATTTGGCCGCGCATGATCCAGATTTAGCCGCGAGGTGCATGTTGTTTTGTTTCGTTTTGTTGTGAGGGATGGTAGCCCTGCGCGCAGCAGGGAATATGCTGGCACATCCGCCGCCCCTTTCTAAAACAATGCAAAGTGCTCGCGGACCTCACAAACATGACTCAAGACTTTGCCCCGACGTGCAATTTGCATTGTTTTTGACAAGGATGCTGGGGGGGGGGCGCATCGGGTTGGCCGCGCATGCTCCACATGTGGAGGCAGAGTGCGGTTTGTATTGTTTTTTGACAGGGGTGGCGGGGGGGCGGGCCCGCATGGAGTCGGCATGATTCTTGGTTGGCCGCCGGTCGGGTGGAGGAGAAGGTGTATACTAGTAAAGAGCAGTGATGGACTTGTCCCCGAAGGGGAAGAAGGGGGTTCGAAGAGGAGCCTCTCTAGACCACCTACGCCCAGAAGTCTGGTGGGATTCGGCTGAGCTGGCGGCCATGGTGACCACGGCTGATTGCACTGCGGCTGGAGCGATGTAGCCATTGTGTTCCCCGTCGTGATCAGAATAGCTGGGTGCGGCAGCAGCACGAGCCGCCCGCATCGCCATGAAAGGGTCAAGCTGCCAGCTGCCAGCGGGAGCACGTGGTCAAAGCCATGCCGCGGATTGCCGGGCGTACGAAGAGTGCTGCCAGGGCCTTAGAGGCTGCCGCCTGCGAAGGAGCATCCAAGCGAATCGGCTTCGCACGGCCGGGACGTCAGGGCATGCGAGGATTGGCAAAGCAAGGCTGTTGATGATAAGCGCACTGGGATAACTCAAGGAAGAGGCAGCGTAAGAATGTGAGTGTGATCTACATCCGCAGGGAGGCGTATCATTTAGCGAGTTGAGAGCAGTCAAAGTTGAGAGGGTACAGAAGTGGTGCTCGAGTAACTGAAGGGAATTGCGTGATTGGATGAGCAAGCTGCGCTGTGCTCTCCAGAGCTGAAGCACTGCTGGGGTATACTAACCAGCTGCATGCGGGGCACCCCGCCACCGCAACACCGCGGCAGCGCAAGAGGTAAAGGTTGAGTTCGCATTCCAGCTCAAGCAGCGCGGGTCTGCAACACTCCCACACATCTCCGCTGCCGTGCTCTCCCCCTACAGTCAACCCGCATAGTAAGGATGGGCAACTTTTCCAAGGGTGACCTCGCATCCTTGCCTCCTCGGCCCATCCTCCGCCACTTTCGTCGGCAGCGTCCGCCCGAGAAACTTCGCAACGGTTCTCCAAGGCCCTTGCATCCTTACCGCGCATCCTTGGGGGACGGGTCGACTGTATTCCGTCATATTGCTGGCGTTTTCTTCAGGGATTCCTTGTTCTTCGATCCTTCTTGGGGGTCGCGATGGTTCCACCGAGCTCTCCCGACGATGCTTGGTGGAACCATCCCGTGGACTTCTGAGCGGGTCTAAGGGTTGGCTTGGAACCCTTCTGGGCCGTCTTCAGTGATTACAGGGGTCGCACTTCGTCCTTTTAGCTGTCGAAAGAAGCAAGCTTCATCATCGCAGACGGGCCCGTCGTGGACCGTGTTGGGTCTTATTTGCGCTGGGGGGCGCCTGACCACCGCACCCTGGTGTAGGTGGAGCGCGGGTTACTGTGCGGCGCGCTGCCGGTCTTAAGGTGTCGACCTTACATGTTTTGGCCAGGCAACCAGGGACGCCAGTGGCTACCGAGCAGTTTGGAAACGTTTGGTTCTTCTGGCATTTCTCGGAGGGTGGGTGGGGGAACTCTGGCGGGCTTCGAGCGTAATCCTGTATTTCGCCAAGCTGCGAGCTGTGCCTGCCCGTGTTCTCGCTTGGTTGCTTGTGCCGCCTTCTCCTTCGGGCCGCCCGCTGCGCCGGGGTCCGGTCTTGCACCGGGCCTCTTTGGGTGGGGGTCTTGCACCCTGTTGGCATGTGATGCAACCTCGGAGGATCCAGGCCGCTTGCGAACCGTATGGGAGGGAACGTCGCATGGACGGGGAGTCGCATAAAGGGATACGCACTGTGCGTGTATGTACATTGTGTATGGTGCCGTGTGTTGTGTTGTGCGTACTCGTGAGTGTGTGTGGTACGCTATTCTGTTGTGTACGTTGTCCGGGATGTACGGGTGCACAGTGATCCCAACCGCTTTTTCAAGGGGGAGCCGCCCACCAATTGGACCCTGCGCAAACGAGTGTTTGGGTGTCCCTGTGGCCCGCTACGGGATATCCTCTCCTCCCCTGCTCCCCCTCCCCTTCCTCCTCCTCCCCCTCCTCCTCCTCCCCCTCCTCCCTCCCCCTCCTCCTCCTCCCCCTCCTCCTCCCCCTCCTCCTGCTCCGCCTCCCCCTTCCTCCTGGCGGGTATCTCGTGTCGGCCTCTGCGCTTCGTCTTCTGATAGGTCGGCGGGGGCCGCCGTCCGGGCGTGCATACCCCCCACCAAGACCAAGACCAAGACCAAGAGGCTTGCACAGACTTGTCTGAAATTGAATGTTTTGCAGACCAAAAATACAGCCCGCGAGGCCTTTTTGGGCGCCAGTCGGCGGCCTTCTCTCGGCCGACGGGGAGCATCTTGTAGCCTTTGGGTGGCTCGTTGGGCCGTGGTGTCAGGCTGGTCTTCGGGCATACTGCTGCCAGAGAGTCCTGCGGGCACGCGAGGACCTCCGCGCGCCGCGCAGCGCGATGCAAAAGTACCCGGCACCGAAAGCGAGCGCCGCTCGGTTCCGCGCGGCCAGTGCACCAGGGTAACAAAATAGACGTAAACACAACTGACCTCTGAGGTCCGCGAGGTTTCTTGGACCCTGTTCCTGGCGCGCGGACCGCGTCAGGGGGCCCCGGCGCCGATCTGAGGACTCCGGGTGGACCTCAGAGTTTCTATGTTTACGCATGTCAGCGCTTGTTCCCCTAGCGCAAGATCCCGCGTACAACGTTTTTGGCTCGTTCCTCGTCCGCGTCTTCCTGCGCTTCTTCCTCCCGTCTCGCGTTCCCTCAGCGGCACACACCTAGAGACGCAATCACAGGGGGCATCGGGTCGCGACGTCGGGGTGGAGGCAGGCGAACCAGCAATGGGAAGCAAGAGCGCATGGCCGGCGCAGCGTCGGCCAGCGGGACCCCGCACAGTTCCGAAGCCTCCGCGCGGCGCGCGGCGCTCGGCGCCACGCCGCCCGGCGGGTGCTCGCCGCGGGGAGAGGCGTCGGAGGCCTTCCTACCTGAGGGGTCGAGCGGCCCCAGCCTGCCTCCGACGCCGTCCGAGCTCATGCCTCGACCTTCTTCTTCCGACCGTTGGGCGGGCCCCGCACGGCCAGCGCAGGTCGGCCAGCTGGAGGAGTTCTTCGGCGGCAGCGACTCCGCCACCCCCTGCCTGTCCATCTGCAACATATCGGACGACGCCACGCCGCGAGAGGCGACGCGAGGAAGAGGGAGACCCAGCGGGGAGGGAGGTGGAGGGAGGAGGAAGAGGAGGAATTGGAGGAGGAAGAGGATCGGACCTTCCGTAGGTCTTTGGTGGTTTGCGATGGTTGTCGGGGTCTACGGGGGTCTGAGGATGGCGTCAGAGGTATCCAGAGACTTCTGGGAGGAGGAAGAGAGGCGGAGGAGGGAGGACGAGGAGAGAGGAGGAGGAGGAGGAGGCAGTCTACGCAGGTGCAACTCTAATACAGGCCTGCCAGCACGCGCCCCGCAGATACTCATAGCTACTTGCAGGACCTTGGATCCAGCGCAGCGTGTGTTAACAAAACGGAAGGCCGACGAACAACGCTTCTCGCACTGGTTTTGTTGCACATACATATATGTGCACATGCATCTGTATATCTACAGGTATAGGTATAATCATACTGCAATTGTATATTTCTATATACAAATAGATGGTAGGGGGCGCTCCTGTGATTTACCTTGCGTCGTTTTGATACGGCGCCATGTGAACGTGACGCAATTTAAACATCACGCTACTGATCTTGCAACTTTCAAAATACTTTAGTATAGCTGACGAAATCACTCAATTTGAATCACCCTGTGGTGATCTACTAATATATTCCTGATGCGCAGGCAGTCGACATCCCCTTGTACTGACTTACGCATTGATTCTTTTTATGCGGCCTTCAAATCGAAATCCTTTGTGCCTGGCTGCAGGGGGGGAGGGGTAGGCTTGGCCGACGAAAAAGGCGAACACAAAAACAAAAAGGACACACCAGACAAACACAACAACACAATTTTGGCATGGTTTTATGTGTAAGCCCCAAACCACAAACAACGCCAACTCGGAAGCAAGGAACACCTGGGTTCTCACAGTGTATGTGCATTTGCGACTTGAGTTTTTTGTGGCTTTCACATGACGTCCATTTGTGGGGAAGTACACATTGACTCCTAGTGTGTAGAAAGCAGTTGAAGTCCTTGTGTGCAGGCTTACACGTTGATTTCATGTGTGCGACCTTCAAACCGAATTCCTTCGCGCCTGGCGCAGGGGGAGGGGAGGAGGGTGGGTTGGCCTACGAAAGACACACACAAAAAGACAAGCAACAACAAATTTTGGGAACTAAGCGCGCTTTGGTTTTAAGTATAACACGGTTGTTGGTCAAACATGCAAACCCAAAAACGCAAACACGATGACAAACAACGGTAACACTGTAAGCGACGAAACAATGTATTTTCGCAGTGTTTGTGCATTTACACAGTTGCTCCTTTTGTATTGTTCTCACCTGAAAATCTCCTGTGGGGAATTACACAGTGATTCTTACTGTGTAAGATACAATCGACATCCCTTTGTACAGACTTACGCAAGGATTCCTAGTGCGCGGCCTTCACATAGAATCCCGTTGTGCCTGGTTCGAGGGGTGAAGGAAGCTGGGCCGACGAAAAGACGAAAGGACAAACAACAATTTGGGAGCCCAAACGCGCTGAGGCCTGCTGGGGGGCCCAGCACAGTGGGCACCCACGGCGGACTCAAACGGGACCTCGCCATCCTTGGGGGGCTGCGATCGGTGAAATTGTCGCCACTTTCGAGGCCTGCAGGGGGGCCCAGCACAGTGGGTACACACGGCGGATTGAAATTGCACCTCGCAGTCCCTGGGGGGCTGCGATCTGTGAAACCGTCGCCACTTTCGAGGCCTGCTGGGGGGCGCAGCACAGTGGGTACACACGGCGGATTGAAATTGCACTTCGTCATCCCTGGGGGGCTGCGATCGGTGAAACTGTCGCCACTTTCGAGGGCTGCTGGGGGGCCCAGCACAGTAGGTACACACGGCGGACTCAAATGGGACCTCGCCATCCCTGGGGGCTGCGATCTGTGAAACCGTCGCCACTTTCGAGGCCTGCTGGGGGGCCCAGCACAGTGGGTACCCACGGCGGATTGAAATTGCGCCTCGCCATCCCTGGAGGGCTGCGATTTGTGAAACCGTCGCCACTTTCGAAGCCTGCTGGGGGGCCCAGCACAGTGGGTACACACGGCGGAGTGAAATTACACCTCGCCATCCCTGGGGGGCTGCGATCTGTGAAACCGTCGCCGCTTTCGAGGCCTGCTGGGGGGGGGGGAGCACAGTGGGTACACACGGCGGGTTGAAAGGATACCTCGCCACCCCTGGGGGGCTGCGATCTGTGAAACTGTCGCCACTTTCGAGGCCTGCTGGGGGGCCCAGCACAGTGGGTACCCATGGCGGACTCAAATGTGACCTCGCCATCCCTGGGGGGCTGCGGTCTGTGAAACTGTCGCCACTTCGAGGCCTGCTGGGGGGCCCAGCACAGTGGGTACACACGGCGGGTTCAAATGTGACCTTGCCATCCCTGGGGGGCTGCGATCTGTGAAACTGTCGCCATTTTCGAGGCCTGCCGGGGGGCCCAGCACAATGGGTACCCACGGCGGACTCAAATGGGACCTCGCCATCCTTGGGGGGCTGCGATCTGTGAAACTGTCGCCATTTTCGAGGGCTGCTGGGGGGCCCAGCACAGTGGGTACCCACAGCTGATTCAAATGAGACCTCGCCATCCCTGGGGGGCTGCGATCTGTGAAACTGTCGCCACTTTCGAGGCCTGCTGGGGGGCCCAGCACAGTGGGTACCCACGGCTGACTCAAATGAGACCTCGCCATCCCTGGGGGCTGCGATCTGTGAAACTGTCGCCACTTTCGAAGCCTGCTGGGGGCCCAGCACAGTGGGTACCCACGGCGGACTCAAATGGGACCTCGCCATCCCTGGGGGGCTGCGATCTGTGAAACTGTCGCCACTTTCGAGGCCTGCTGGGGGGCCCAGCACAGTGGGTACCCACGGCGGACAAATGGACCTCGCCATCCCTGGGGGGCTGCGATCTGTGAAACTGTCTCACTTTCGAGGCCTGCTGGGGGGCCCAGCGCAGTGGGTACCCACGGCGGACTCAAATGGGACCTCGCCATCCTTGGGGGACTGCGATCTGTGAAACTGTCGCCACTTTCGCGGCCTGCTGGGGGGCCCAGCACAGTGGGCACCCACGGCGGATTCAAATGGACCTCGCCATCCCTGGGGGGCTGCGATCTGTGAAACTGTCGCCACTTTCGAGGCCTGCTGGGGGGCCCAGCACAGTGGGTACCACCGCAGATTCAAATTAGACCTCGCCATCCCTGGGGGGCTGCGATCTGTGAAACTGTCGCCACTTTCGAGGCCTGCTGGGGGGCCCAGCACAGTGGGTACCCACGGCAGATTCAAATTAGACCTCGCCATCCCTGGGGGGCTGCGATCTGTGAAACTGTCGCCACTTTCGAGGCCTGCTGGGGGGCCCAGCACAGTGGGTACCCACCGCAGATTCAAATTAGACCTCGCCATCCCTGGGGGGCTGCGATCTGTGAAACTGTCGCCACTTTCGAGGCCTGCTGGGGGGCCCAGCACAGTGGGTGCCCACCGCAGATTCAAATTAGACCTCGCCATCCCTGGGGGGCTGCGATCTGTGAAACTGTCGCCACTTTCGAGGCCTGCTTGCGGGGCCCAGCACTGTGGGTACCCACGGCGGACTCAAATGGGACCTCGCCATCCTTGGGGGGCTGCGATCTGTGAAACTGTCGCAACTTTCGAGGCCTGCTGGGGGCCCAGCACAGTGGGTACCCACCGCAGATTCAAATTAGACCTCGCCATCCCTGGGGGGCTGCGATCTGTGAAACTGTCGCCACTTTCGAGGCCTGCTTGCGGGGGCCCAGCACAGTGGGTACCCACACGCAGATTCAAATTAGACCTCGCCATCCCTGGGGGGCTGCGATCTGTGAAACTGTCGCCACTTTCGAGGCCTGCTGGGGGGCCCAGCACAGTGACGCCACACGCAGATTCAAATTAGACCTCGCCATCCCTGGGGGGCTGCGATCTGTGAAACTGTCGCCACTTTCGAGGCCTGCTTGCGGGGCCCAGCACAGTGACGCCTCCCAAGTAGCTTACACATCAAGTTGATTGTCCATACAAGGTTCGGCCAACTCCTCGTTTCCATTGATACAAATGGGTTGGGTACGTCACAGGGTAATATTGCAAACATGTTTTTTCATTGTAGACTCCAAAACGCAAGCAAAAAACAGTGGCCTGGCGAAGGACCCAACCATGTTAGTTGTGAGTACCGTCGTTGTATGCACCGGGTTCGGAGAAGCTCCCTATAGGGCCACGGAACGTGTGAGGGAGGTGCCAAAATGTGTCCGGTGGGCGCATGCGAAAGCAGCCATTGGGACCGTCGGTGGAGTTCCCTACGGGGCCACGAAACGCGTGAGAGGTGTGCCGAAATATGTGCGGTGGGCGCACGCGAACGCAGCCACTGGGGCCGTCGGTGGAGCTCCCTATGGGGCCGCGAAACGTGTGATGGGTGTGCCGAAATGGGTGCGGTGGGCGCATGCGAACGCAGCCATTGGCGCCTTCGGTGGAGCTCCCTATGGGGCCACGAAACGGGTGATGGGTGTGCCGGAATGGGCCTGGGTGCCGCTTGCAGGCGGTGGCACCGGGGCCTTCGTTGGAGCTCCGTATGGGTCCACGAAACGTGTGAGGGGTGTGGACGCATGCAGGCGGTGGCATTGTCGCTTTCTGTGGAGTTCCCTATGGGGCCACAAAGCGTGTGAGGGGTGGACGCATGCGGGCGGTCCCACTGGGGGCTTCGGTGGAGCTCCCTATGGAGCCACGAAATGTGTGAGGGGTGTGCCAAAGTACGTTTGGGGGACGCATGCAGGCGGTCTTGCTGGGGGCTTCGGTGGAGCTCCCTTATGGGGCCACGAAACGTGTAAAGGGTGTGCCAAATTTGGTTTGGGGGACGCATGCGGGCTGCCCCACTGGGGGATTCGGCGGAGCTCCGTATGGGACCACGAAACGTGTGAGGGTGTGCCAAAGTACGTTTGGGGGACGCATGCAGGGGGTCATGCTGGGGGCTTCGGTGGAGCTCCGTATGGGGCCACGAAACGAGTGAAGGGTGTGCCAAAGTGGGTTTCGGGGGCGCATGCGGGCTGCCCCACTGGGGGATTCGGCGGAGCTCCGTATGAGGCCACGAAACGTGTGAGGGGTGTGCCAAATTCGTTTTTGGGGGACGCATGCAGGCGGTCCCATTGGGGGGTTCGGCGGAGCTCCGTATGGGGCCACGAAACGTGTGAGGGGTGTGCCAAATTGGGTTTTGGGGGCGCATGCGGGCGGTCCCACTGGGGGCTTCGGTGGAGCTCCCTTATGGGGCCACGAAACGTGTGAGGGGTGTGCCAAAGTACGCTTGGGGGACGGGGCTTCGGTGGAGCTCCCTGTGGAGCCACGAAACGCTGTACTGGGTGGGTGAAACGCAGGGAGGAGGAGGGGGGGAGGAGGGAGGAGGGGGAGGAGGAGGAGGGAGGAAGTTGGGAGGAACGCGGGGACCGTCCCTTCAAAACGAGGACCCAACACCACAGGATGGTTGGGAAAAACCATTTGGAAGCAAGGAAGCATCGTTGTCGTCGTCGGCATCGCTGTCCTCCCTCCTTCCTCCCTCGTCGTTGTCGTTGCCGGCGTCGTCGTCCTCCTTCCTCCCTCGTCGTCTTCGTCTTCGTCGGCGTCGTCGTCGTCTTCGTCTCCGTCGTCGTCGGCGTCGTCGTCGTCGTCGGCGTCGTCGTCGTCGGCATCGGTGTCGTCGTCGTCGTCGTCGTCGGCGTCGTTGTCGTCGTCGTCGTCGTCGAAGTCGTTGGAGACGCCGTCGGTGTTGTCGTAGTCGTTGTCGGCGGCGCCGTCGTCGTCGTTGTCGCTGCCGTCGTCGGCGTCGGTGTCGTTGCCAAGTGCCATTTGGTACCTACCGTCACGGTCTTAAGAGGTCTTGCGACCAAGTTGCGGGTGGGAGGGTGGAATGTTTGCACGAGCAGTGGAGAGGACAGTTTCAAGTTGAGCAAGTGATTGATTGCACCCCTACGTTTATCACGTAGATTGCACTACATAGAGTACCCCACAAATATTGCACCACAGATTTTGCACAACATAGGTTGGACAGCATATATTGCACCAGATAGGTTACACCATGTAGATTATTTTCTCTACAGGGGGAATAGGATCTCCCCCCCCCCGGGATTATCGATACGCCCTGGGGATGTGCAGTTTACATCTGACTCTGTCCCATCGTTCATGCTCAACTTGATTTCACACCATCCCAACCAGGCCGGTAATCCCTTTTCTTTCATCCATCGCAAATATCGTTATGATCGCGCACTCGTTTATCAAAAACCATCCGCTTGCAGGAACCGCTTGCAAATCATGGGACGAAGTGCACACGCTCGATTTATCCCGCGGGCATGCCGAAATCCTTCAATTAGCCTTGGTTTCGTAGGGATTTTGAAATCGGTTGTTCCGAAATCATATGTATATAGATATATGAAACTGATTGCTTGACAACATGAAGTTCCAACATCAATCTGTCCGTTCGCGCGTTATTGCGAATTCTTCCGAACACAATGTGTTAGTTGTCCATATTTTCACCACATGCGACCAAACGGGCCTCTCGCGCGCGCCTGCCGAAAGCATTCGAGCGCCCTTGCGCGTACGCTGCGGGGGGGGGGCGATCCCTTACAAAAAACGCAATGCGGGCCACTCGCGCCCACGCGCGCATGTCGAAATCCTTCCAAAACCTTCATCATCGACACGTTGACTCCATCTTCGTCATTTGCGTGACCAGAATTGGCGCCGTCATTGGCCTTGCCGTCGCCATCGTCAGCACCACCACCACCACCATCGCTATTATCATCATATTTTTTGCCTTTGTCGACGTTATCAAAATACCGCGCACGCCCGACTCACCGAACCGCATTGAAGTGCCCGCGCGCCAGCTCGGCCTTGGAAGCGCGATGGGAGTTTGCTAGCTGTAAGCGCCATCGCGGCCGCACTGGCTGTGCCAAACCAGCTTGCCGCTCCGTGCGCGAGCCTGCGCGCGCCAGCGCGGCCGCAGAGATGCGCCAGCCAGGGCCAGGCAGTCATCGCAATCGCAGTGTGCATGGGCGTTGCAAAAGAAGTTGCGTGTGGGAGGGTGGGGTTGTTGCGCGGGCAGTGGAGTTCATAATCCATCGGCCGGCGAAGATTATTCGCTACCCATAGATTGGACCATCACATATCATGCGCTTCATAGAGTGCACCATGTAGACCGCAACACATAGCTTGCACCATGCTGCACGCACCACGAAAATTGCACCACGTAGTTGACACATCCAGGGTGCAAGAGACCACTGTTTGGAGGCCGCGCAGGAAAACATATTCCTTCAAGAAATTACCCCGAATTGGGGCCGCATTGGGTTTATCTGCTCGAGAGTGTATACTACAGGTGCACGTCCTCTTCAGCGGCTGCCCAGGCTACATCAAGTCGTTCCTTGCCTACGACTCGACAGACAAGAGGTTGTGGGGAGTCGTCCACTTCGAATCCGAGGAGGGATTTGCACTCAAGGGGAGCAAGGAGGAAGGATGGAAGGAGTAACAAGGAGGTACAGGGATGCTGTAGTCGTCGTCTTCGTCGTCGTCAAACGCCGTCTTTACAGATGATCGGGCCTGAGAGCCTGTTTTCAAGATTCGGGCAAGTCTACTGGCACGGCGTTCGCCCTCCCCCCCCTCGCCCCTCTTCAAACGAATACGAGCGTGCAAGTGCCTTTCGACTTACGTCATGTCCGCACGTGCGAGTCGTTTGCGGCTTGCTTCAGGTTCAGCCCCCCCCCGTCCATGCAAGTAAACGTGCCGGGGTAGAAAAAGAGCAGGCTCTGAGTCGGCATCCGGGGGTGCCCACAGGGGCGCGAGGGTGGGAACCGCGCTTCGCTCCTCGCGGCAGGGGTCCCAAAAAGCTGCCCCTTCCCCGACGCCGGCGGCCCGGGGGCGCGAAGGTTTAAGAGCGCATCGCGGCGGCGCGGGGGCGCGAAGGTCGGTGACCCAGCAGCCACACGGTCCCGGAGGAGCACCCTGCAGCGGGGGCCCATGCCAAGGAGCACCCTGCTTGCCTCCAGGGTGCCCTGGGTTTCTTGGGTTTCGATGGTTTTGCTGTGGAAAGCGTGACCGTCCCACTCCAAAAATCAGTGGAGGCCCTGAGGTCTCAGGATTGGGTTTCCTGTGGAAGGTTTCTTGTGGTCGGGCCCCTACTGCAATAGTAGGGTGCTGGATGCTTATGAGAAGTTCTTCAGAGGTGCTGGGAGGCTCCCGAGAGATTCCGAGGAGGGTCCTGAGAGGCTCTCCCAACAGGTTCTTGAGAGGCTGTTGAGAGTCTGTTGAGGAGCTCTTGAGACGCCATTGGTAGGGTCCTGTGAAGCTCCTCATGCGGGGGCGAAGTTTGCTTTTATGCCATTTTGGTTGGCAGTTGGGTCGATCATGCCTTCCGCTGGCAGGATCAACATCGAATGCTTCAGGACGCAGCGGTTTTGGAATGATGGTTGCTTGATGTTGTGACGACCGCCTCATCCCTGCCCTCAGGGCTGTACGGTGTCGGGGGCCCACTGGGCCCAGAGTCGTATGGTGCAGGCACCGATTTTCAGACACGGATACACGCAGACCCTGCGAGGGCGGTTCTGCCACGTTTTGCCACCCGCGATTTGAGCGTCCGGCCTGGGATGCGCGCTGTCGGCACTGGGCCTAACGTCGTATTATTGTGCAGGCAACAATTTTCAGACACGGATGCATGCAGACTCTGTGAGGGAGGTCTTGCCACGCTATTCCACCTGCGATTTGAGCGTCCGGCACGGGACGCGCGTTGTCGGCAGCTCGTGTTATCTCCCGCTTCGAGCCGCCACCCGAGCTGTGGCTCGGCCTGGAGCAGTTGACTGCCTGGGACCTTCTCATGTCCTCGAAACATCATCCCTCCTCCGCATCGCGCCTCCGGGTGCCAGGTAATGTGGGTAGGGAGGCCGGTCGACGGACGGCTCAGCGGTAAAATGTTCACCGACAGATCGGCCCTTTTCCTGTGCCTTCAGAGCCCTCATCTTGGGAGTGCGGGGCGGGTTGTGGCGCAGGTTTCCCGAGACCTTCGACGACGGGGTGCCAGCCGACGGGGTGCCAGCCCACGCAAGGCCAACGCGGTGGCCGACACCCGCTGCACAGACGAGGGGCGGCCATGCGGCCGATCAGGTGGGGCCCGCCGCCACGGAGCTGGTGGGCATCACATGTGCAGGGGAGGCCCATGCCAAGGAGCACCCTGCTTGCCTCCAGGGTGCCCTAGGTTTGTTGGGTTTCGACGGTTTTGCTATGGAGAGCGCGACGTTCCCACACCAAGAATCACTGGACGGCCTGGGTTCTCAGGGTTGGGTCCCTTGTGGAGCGTCTCTTGTGGTCGAGCCCCCTCTGTGTGGGGGAGGAGCCCGGTAGGTGGCCGGGGGCCCGAGGTCTTCTGGTGGCATCGGGGGAGCGGCGAGATGCGGATGGGCTCCCGGAGCGCCCCAGCCCCCAGAGGGGCCGGACCGCCCAGGGCGGCCCGCCCGGGGCGACGGCGTCCCCCGCAGGGGCGCGAGGACAATCGCGCGCTTCGCGTGTCGCGGCCTCTGGCTGGGAGAGGCGCCCCGCTCCCCGGCGGCGGCGCGGGGGAGCGAAGGTGCCCGAGTCGGGCATGTCCCTTTGCAGGACATGCCCGGCCTAAAGACAAAGCGCGCGTCGCGCAGCGCGGGGCGCGCTTCGCGGATCTGGGTGCCGGCGCTACCTGTCCAGCTCTTCCAGCACCAGGTTCGAGCCGCCAGAGGTTTCGATGCTCAGGGGGGCGCTCGTGATCGTTGCCCCGAGGCTGCTCTGCTGCGCCTCGTGCGGAGCGCTTGCTTGGGGAGGAGCGTGTGGTCTGCTGCAGCCCTGCAGAGGATGGAGGGCGGGCATTTGGCTGAAGCAGCAGAGAATGCGTATTCCACACGGCCTTCCTCACTGGCTGAGCCAGTACGGGGGAGCCTGACCTGTGTGGCACGGGAGCAAGACCGCGGCGGTCTGCACCCGCGCCCTTTATCAAGGAGGCTCTGCCCGCGATTACGGAGAGGGGTGATCCTGGCCATGTTCGGTCTCGAGTCCGGCGGCCTTGCACAACGGACGTCCAGGGCCGCCTCCAAGCGCTCCGAGCAGCTGGGGGACGAGACCTAGCGGGAGTGACCCCCCTCGTTCTTTGGGCTAGCAGGCTTTTGACTGCTGGTCTGACTTCAATCTGAGTGTCTTGCTCCTCTTGCTTGCCTTCTCCCGCCTTCCCATCGGAGCAGACGTGGAGCGAGAGGCCGTGCTCAGCGGCAGGGAGACTTCTTTGCTGCCCACCTGCCGTCTGCGCGCGCACGATCGTGCCGGAAACAACCCGATAAGAAGCCAAGGCCCAGCGGAAGCAGCGCAGATGACCGGATCGCTGGGGCTCCACGCAGATGCGAGTCATCGCAGCGGCTCGCGTCCACGTGTTAGCGTGGAGAAGACATCACCATCACGGGCTGGAAGGCGTGCGTGCGACGAGGCAACACAAATCAGGAGACTTCGCGTGGCACCGCAGCTGGCTGAAGACCGTCGGTGACGAGGGTGCACCGCGCAAGGCGCAAGCCCACGAGCGGCACTTCGACGACACCTGGTAATCGACGCGCCCTACTACACGGAGGCTCTGGACGGTTGTGCGGCCCTGTGAGTAGCTCGCACGTCCAGAGAACTCCTCAACACCCAGAGTTCGAGCTCCTTTTCTCGGACTTCGAGGGTGCCGCGGCGCTCCATCCTGCCCGTGAAGAGATGGCGCGTGGCATCCGCCGCTCCGCTGTGGAAGGCAGCGGCCCTGGCAGGGCCCTCTGCTTCGACGTGCGGCAGACGTGGTCGCAGGGCGCGGGGCGGCGTGCATCCCTCGCTGGCCTGGTGATGGAGCACGCGCCGCCGCTGGCGCTGGGCTCCCGACCCCTCCCCACGTGTGCACGGGCCAGGGGATCGCGCAGTCGTTTGGCACTCCCGCCGCTCCGACCTCGTGCAGGCCACGGGCATCGTACACAGTGTGCACCGCACCACGATAGAATGGGTCCAAGTTGCTGGGCACGTGAGCGCAACAACCCAACCTTACCTCTTTCCACGTGCTCAGGGAGACCAGCACGGATCTTGTCCAGCGGATCGGGGAGGTGCGTGACAGGCTTGCGCAGGCCGAGTTTTCGTTGTAGGCCGAGACGGGTGTGGTGATTGTGAAGGCCTGACGGCCGGTGCCGCCGACCCTGAAAGACATCGACGACGACCAGGAGGGGGAGGAGGAGAAGGAGGAGGAGGAGGAGGAGGAGGAGGAGGCGGCGATAGGGAGGAGGAGGAGGAGGAGGAGGAGGAGGAGGAGGAGGAGGAGAAGGATGAGGAAAAGGACTCCCCCCTGGGACCCCCCCCCTGGGGAGGAGGACCGGAGGAGGACGGGCGTGCGAGAGGGGAGGGGAGGGGGAGGAGGAACCCCAGGGACGGATGCGTATCTGACTCCCCTCCCTCCCCCCCTGGACTCCTCCCCACCTGGGGAGGAGGACCCGAGGATGACTGGCGCGCCAGAGAAGGACCGGCGTAGGAGAGGAGGACCCCCAGAGGCGATGCGAATCTGACCCCTCCCCCCTCGGGACCCCCCCCCCTCCCCGCCGGGGAAGGGGCAAAGGGAAGGGGCTTCCCTTTGACGTAGTGAGGACATGGATGAAATTCTCTCGAGCTGCGAACCCGTTCCCCGAACGAGGAAGGGTGCTCTCTCTCTCTCTCTTTCTCTCTCTTTCTCTCTCTTTCTTTCTCCCCCGACGGGAGTGGAGGATGGCAATGAGGGGACGAAAGAAGGCTCCGCGTCGACGGGATCGGACAGACACCCCACACACGCCGACAGGGTCGGCGGATTTTGTTGCAGCAGGTATTTGAGATCACCTCAACCAGTTGGCCAAACTTATCAGCACATGTATACGCAACAGCCGCCGTCCAAGCAGAATGCCCATCGGATCACCAACCGGCTTGTGAAGACTGAAGTGGGTCGACAGAACATTGCGAAGTTGGTCATATCCATCGCAGAGAATACCCAGAACACGTGACCCCCAGCAGACCCAGAGCACCGCCGACATCTCAGAGCTCCTTGTCCCATTGCGAGAGCATTTCGCGGCTCTGGCGCTGTGCGAGCTGACGTCCGTGGAGGTGGAAGAACGCGCAACGCACGTGGAGTACTCTTTGAACCGCATGCAGCGAATGCATTGTGCTATACGGACGCTTGCAGCTGTACCATCTGGTTGAAGAGACATGCCGCCACCAGCCGAAGCACGAGCAGGCGTACGAGGAGCTGAAGGGGAGCATGGTCCTCATGAGAGCGCTTGTGTGAGCGCTTGAGGTTGTTTCCTGTAAGTGTGGCCAGAAAGTTGTGAAAGCCGTGGAACGTGCGATCCAGGCGGAGAGCTACCCCCACTGCCGTGGCAAACATATTTCTCAGTTTGATGCGCCGTTCTATTGTACGGCACGCGATCGGGCCGAGATCTAAGAACCTCAATGTCAACCGCTGTTAAGTGCCGGCACGCCGCTGGCCTCAGGCGCTGCTAATTTGGAGCATCGCTGTTACAGTGAAAATCGTTCCTACTCCTATCTTGCCTGCTCACTCCGCTGCTGCTTCTCCTCCTTCCTAGACTCCGCCTCATCCTGCCGTCACCCTCCTTCCTCACAGTATCCGATTCGTCCTGCTGATCATCCACCTCATCCTCCTCGCCTGTCGCTCTGATCGCCTCTTCCACCACCACCTCCCCCTCTTCTTCCTCCTCCTCTTCCGCCCTCCTCCTCATCCGTTCTCCTTTCGCGGCTCCTCCCCCGCGCACGATCGGCATCGGTTCGTCACGAGAGCCGCCGCCCGCACCACCGCCCTCGCCGCCGCCGCAACGCCCGCACCGCGGCCGCGCCGAGGCCGCGCCGCCGCCACCTCCGCCGCTGCCGCACCGCCCGCGCTACCGCACCGCCGCCACCGACGCCGCCCGTGCTCGTCGTCGTCATCGTCGTCGTCCTCAGCGAGGCGCCCCATGCAGACCAAGGCAACCAGCAACCTGGACTTGCATTTACTTTTCTGGGCCAAAAACCCGATGAGATGTTTTACGATGCGAGCACGTACGGGATTGGGACTGCTCGCTCTACTGCGCTCGTTCCCTCCTCCCGGGCGCACGTTGCGATGCTGGCCGCCGCCGCCAACCGAAGGAGAACGCGGAGCAGGCGGCGGAGTCGCGAAAAGGCGCCCCCGGCGGCCGGCAGAGGGCGGGGCATCTGGCCGCCGGCATGGGCTGGTTTCGCCAGCGGCTGGTTTCGCCGAGACGCTGGTCGGCGTCGTCGTCGTCGCTGTCGGGCGGGACCCTAACGATCGGGACCCTAACGGGCGGGTCGGGCGTAGTGGATCCAAACGGGCAGCTCGGGCGGGCGGGACCTCAACGCGCGGGTCGGGCGGCCTGGACCCGAACGGACGACGGGCGGGCGGGAGAGACCCGAATTCAGACGGTGGAACTCGGGGCGGGCGGGACATTAATGCGGGTGGGCTTCTCAGCACGCGAACGGGTGGGACCCTTACGAGCGGCTCGGGCCGGCGGGGCGGTCGGGCGGGCGGCACCCTAACGGGTCGGGCGTATTTGGCCCAAACGGGCGGGTCGGTCGGGCGGGACCCTGACGGGCGGGTCGGGCGGGCGGGTTCGAACGGGACGGTCGGGCTAGCGGGGCAGTAAAGCGGGCGGGCGTGCCAGCATGCGAACGGGCGGGACTTCAACAAGCGGGTCGGGCGGGCAGGGCCCTGAAGGGCGGGCCGGGCGGGCAGGACATCAAAGCGGGCGGGGAGGCTTGCCAGCGCGCGAATGAGCGGGACTCCAACGGGCGGGCGGGATCCGAACGGGTCGGTCGGGCGGGCGGGACTTTAACGGGCAGGTCGGGCTTGCGGGTCCGGCTGGCGGGCGGGTCGGTCGGGCAGGAGGGCGGGCCAGGACGCGAACGGGCGGGACCCTAACGGGCGATCCGGGCGGGCGGGCCTTCATGGGTCGGGCGGGCGGGTGGGACTTACGGCACGGGCGGGACTGCCGCGGCGGGACTTACGGTACGGTCGGGGCGGGGCGGGCGGGGCGGGACAGGGACAGTCAAGCGGGCGGGCTTGCCAGCACGCGAACGGGCTCGGGGACGGCATGCGAAATTGACCATGGGTGCCGTAGAGGGATATCCTTGCGGTGTACGGTCCGCGTCAGGGGTGTGGCGACATCTGTGGAGGGACGCCACGCTGCCCCTCCTGTTGCAGCCGTCGGTGGAGCTTCCCAGGCGGCGCGACCCGTGTAAGGGGTGTGACGAAATGGGCGTGAAGACGCCATGCGAAATTTTCTCTCTGGGGCTGGAGGTGGAGCTTCCTTTGGGCCACTATCCCTGTCAGGGGCGTCCCGCTATGAGTGGAGCGGATGCGAACCATGTCTCTGAGGTTGATTTTTGAGCTCCCTGTGGAGTGATCCTTTTGAGGGTGAGTCGACACATGGGGGGAGCAATAAGAATCCGAGTTGGGAATGAGGATGGAGAGCAGGAGCAGTAGCTGGAGCGCGGGGAGGAGAAGGAGGACGAGGAGGAGGAGAAGGAGGAGGAGGAGGAGGAGGAGGAGAAGGAGGAGGAGGAGGAGGAGGAGAAGGAGGAGGAGAGAGAGAGAGAGGGAGGAGGAAGAGAAGAGCGATGACGAGGGAGGGGATCGGGGAGGGGGCCGAGGTGGATGTAGGCTCTGCAATGACCGCACGTAGCGGATTGCGCAATGTCGCCGATCAGACGAGCGAAAGCGAGAGCCGTAAACATTGGCGCAGCTGTGACTAGAACCTATGCGCGCGCGAAGCGCTCGCGTGGTTCTAGTAAACGTCTAAGACGAATGCGCGCGGCGCTAAGGCGAGAACCACCTGTTGGAAATCAACCGGCCCCCATCCGTGAAACTGTTGCAAAGTTTTCAGACGATTGCGCGCTGCGCAAAGGCAAGACCCACATCGGCAGTGCGGCTAGAGCCACATTTTGAAAACGCCCAGCCCTCCATCCGTGAAGCTCCTTCGCAAAGCTTGACAACGAATGTGTGTGGCGCCAGGGCGTGCGACACATTTCGAAGTGGAGCCGCCCTCCATCCGCGAATGTGTTGTGCTACCACGAATTAACACGAAAGTGCGCGGCACTGAGACGAGACCCGCGTTATAAAACCATCCGCCCTCCCCACGTGAAGCTCTTGCAAAGGTTTAACACCAATGCGCGCGGCGCCCAGGCGAGTGCCACGTACTGAAGACAACCCGCCTCCATTCGTGGAACTCCTTGCGCACTTTTAAGACGAATGTGCACGGCGCTTCAGCGATCACCGCATTTTGAAAACCACCCGCCCTTCATGAGTGGCACTACTGCACACGTTTGAGACGAATGCTCGTGGCGCAGCCCTCCAGCTGTGGAGAAGGTTTAAGCTTCTGAATCATAAGTGGTGCGGGGATGTCAGGCGAACCGCCCAGCCCGCCGTACCGACATGCCCCAGGATGCGTCTGGAGGAATGATGTACAAAGAAAGGGAGTGGAGGAGGAGCAGGAGGACAAGCAGGATGGAGAGCAGACTCACGAAGAAGAGCTTTGTTCAAACACAGTGCTGGTTGATCGCAACAAAGCTTTTGCGCCAGTTCGTCACCACAAATTGATCGTTGCTGCCCAGAAGACGTGTTTCCTCATGCGCCTCCTGTTTCTGCTCGTGAGTTTTGTACAGGCAGCCGCGAGTCCTAGACATGGGCATTCAGACGTCGCCCTCTATCTGGTCAGGACAGGGCGTGCTTCGAGGTTGTGTTTTCGCGACCGTCATGCTGCAATTCCTCCTCCCCACACCTCTGGGCGAGGTTCGAAAAGCTGAGCCCTTGGTCGCCCTTTCGGCAGTGGTGGACGACATAGGAGTGCTGCGTTTTGGGTATGAGGACAAAGTTTGGTCGGCCATCGTGAATGCAGGCACTGCGCTCAAGACCCATATTACTGCATGCGACCTGGCCGTAGCACTCGACAAGACAAGGTTTCTATCCAGCAGCAGTGGCATCCGCGAGAGTTTGGCCAACGAGCAAGCCTGATTTGGAGGCTGGACATTCTATTATGAGATGGATTTGGGGGTGGGTTTCGGATCGGGTCGTCGGGTGGGGAGGGGAACGTTTTCGCTGTTCGCGCCCAACCCGCAAAGTGGCCTTCCAAGTCCATTGCATCCCTATCGCGCGTCCTCAGTATACGGGTTGATTGTAAGCGAGAGAGGCTGAAGGCTGCTGCGGCGCGAGGGCGCAGCATTAAAACACTTGAGACAAAAAGCGATCGCGAGCGTACAATAGTGCGCATTGCCAAAGCCACTGTCGAGATCAGTGTTAGTTACGGCAGTAGTATCACTGGCACGAGCAATCAGGAGCTGCCCAGGCTCAGGCAGTTAGTGGCCAACCAAGGGCCCACAAGTGCCTCATCCCTCACGCTCCGCCCTCCTCCTCCTCCGTCATGGCCCAGGACTCCTGGGAAGAGGGTCGACCCAATATCTAAGGCCTCCGCCGAGCCGCTGTGTGCCATGGTCGCTGCGTGGCAGCAAACATGGGATCCCAAGCATGTGATATCTAAGGGCATCACCGCTGCTCAGAGTAAGGCGTCTGGCAAGAGCACCCATAGGGGCTGTATTTTTCTCCGCCGGCGTGGCAACGCTGGGTTGAGAATGGAGTCGCTTTCGAAGGCGTCACGAAGTGTGGGATCACCTGAAATGTTCCGTGTGTTGTCCTGCTGTTGCCCCGTGGGCTGTCACGAGATGGAGACATGTGTGGTGATAGTATGGCTCTGTCTAAATTGTAAAGGGCTCATCGTGAGCGGTTCCATGGTTTGTCCCGTGGTTGTCCCGTGGGGTGGCTCATTGGTTGCCCCGTTCATTCGCCGCGATTGTCTCGCGGGTGTCCCGTGATTGTCTCGCGGATGTTGGCGGGTAACCCCGCAGGGATGCAAACCAAAATGCACACGCAAGGCAGGCGTAGCGCCCCGCACATGGACACACACACATATCTATACATACACCTGGACATGCGACTACACACGTTGCTTTCGCAATCGCGGATAAGAGTGATGGGGGCGGCGGAGCCGTCGGTTGTCTGCGAGGCTCTGAGAACACCCCGCCGCAGGTGCCGATTGTTTTTTCGCATTACACAACGGGCTCGCCGCACGCGCCGATAATTCGTCAAAGCGACGTGGGTGTGTCGCGGGTGGGTCGCTGGTGGGTGGGTCGCGGGGGGTCGCGGGGGAGGGCGACGACAACAACGGCATGAACAATAAACAGCCATAGGGGCAAGATGAATTCTAGCCACGGGATCCCATTCCACCTGCGCGCTTAGGGATGATGTAAGAGCGTTCGGCCCTTCACTCTGACATCTATAACTGTATACACACATACATACACATACACACGCATACAGACATACACACCTCTAGATGTATCTATGTATGTCTATCGATAAGGTCTTCGCCCCCTGCCGCCGGCCCCCTCTCTCGAATAATGGGCAATGCAAAAGCGAAGTCATGAGGCCTTGGCGCCGCCTTGAAGCAGCGTCGGGACTTCACGCGAAGACGAGTAATCGGCAAGACAAATTGACAAGTTGACGATCTTGTTGACTTCGGGGTCGCAAGTATAGCGTAACTTACGCAGATTTGCGGCTTCGGAGACGCGAATATCGCGTGATGTACGCAGGTGTATGGCTTCGGAGACGCGAATATAGCGTAATGTGCAAGGGTGTATTGCTTCGGGGACGCGGATATTAAGTAATTGCCAATGGCTCATTGCATCGGGAACCCAACTATTGCATAATTTCCAAATGTTTATGGCTGCGGAGACGCGAGTGTAGCGAACACAATGGTTTATGGCTTCGGCGACGCGGTGGGTGATTTCCAAGCGTTTGTGGCCTCGGAGACGCAACAATTTTGTAATTTACGAGGGTTTATAGCTTCGGGGACACGAACACGGCGTATTTTGCAAAGGTTTATGGCTTCGGAGACGCGAATGTTGAGTAATTCACAAAAAGGTGTATGGCCTCGGGGACGCGAGCCTTGCGTAATTTACGACGGTGTATGGCCTTGCTGGCGCGAGTTTCACGTATTTGTACGTGTCCCCCCTAGAAATTGTGAGATTCCTGGGAGGTGCTAGCCAGGGTGCTTTTCGGCTCTCCCCCTCGCGCGGTCTACACCAAGAAGCAGTAATACAATAAGAAGCAGAACTATCACGTTGGAAACTGGAACCTGCAACTGGCGCAGGGAGCAGCAAACCTTTGCCCCCTGGTTGCCCCACAAGGGGGCCGGCAGAGTTATATATATATATATATATATACATATATATATATATATAACAGGTTTGTATATATAGATACATGTATATTTATATACAGGTGTACCGATGTATGTGCAGTTGTTTACGCTCATATACATACACAGATGCACGTCGTAGACTACCGTTCGGGTTGTAAACAAGAGTGTTTTCACGGGCGTTGTGCGGGGGGGTCAGACATTTTGCAAATCGGGGGGCAGTGGAGGGGGCAAACAGAGCCAGCCCCTCCCCCCCCGCCAGGGAAGTGCGGGGGAGTCATGACCGAATGGCGGCCCCCGCCCCCTGAACTTGCCGCCCCATGGGAAGGGGAAGGGGGGTACGAACTCTGCGGCGCGCTGGCAAACGACGACAGCGACAACGAACAATGACGACGACGAGGACAGCGACGACGGTGACGGCAGATTTCGACAACGACGGGCGTGGCGACAACGACTATGCTGACGACGCCGTCGCCGACGACGACGATGATAAAGAGACGCTGACACTGACGTCGACGATGGCGACGTCAGTGAGCGAGGGTTGCATTCAATCTCCCGCCCACCTGTCCGAGTTCATGTCGCGCCCGCCAGGCCCGACATGTGAGCGATGCAAGAGAACGGAGTCGATGTAACGCGCCGCGCTGTCGGCTCGCGTAAGCTGCCGCGTAAGGTCTCTACGCCATCTCGCGTAAGACCAGTTTTTGATCGTCGCTCATGTGCGTTCGGGTCCCTCCCACCCATTTGGGCCCCGCCCTCCAGGTTGCTTGATCGCCTGCTCGTTCGCTTTCATGCCCTGCCCGGCCCGCCGGTCGGGGTCTCGCCGCCCGCCCGTGAGGTCCCGCCCGTTGAGCTGGCTGAAAAAAAAACGCCTGCCCGGAACGCCCCGCCCGCCCGACCCGCTCGTCAGGGCCCCGCCCGCCCGACCCGCCCATGCAGGCCGTGGTCTTTGCCGCCACGCCTGAGCTGCCTCGATGCACCCGTTTTGATACGCAATTCGCACCGTGCTCAAAAAGTCCGTGTCAATATGGTGCGTGTTGTCTCAACATATTGGCCCGCGTTTCGGCGAGTGCACCGCGTCATAACTACGTTTTCAGTCTACGCGATGAGCTCCGTATGAATACGCTACGTGTTGCGTGTTGCGTATCGGGGCAGCTAAGCGCCACGCGCTCCGACCCCACGGCGAAGATGTCCTAGACCGCCGACGTCACGTTCTGTGTCGCGACGTCACGGGCCTTTGTCGGCGCCATCCCCAGGCCACGGTGATGATAATGACCCAGACCGCCGACGTCACGTTTTCGTGCCACGACGCCACGGGCTCTTCTCGGCGCCATGCCCGGGCTGCGGCGACGATGACCCCGACTGCCGTCGTCGCGTTATGTGCCGCGACGCCACGGGCCGTTGTCGGCGCCATCCCCGGGCCACGGTAACGATGACCCAGACCGCCGACGTCACGTCTCGTATCACGACGCCACGGGCCTTTGTCGGCGTCGTCCCCGGGCCACGGCGACGATCCCTAAGATCCGACGTCTCGACAACATTGAGACATCCTGAAAAATCACGACTGGAGTCCCAGGCCCCATTTTTCTGCGCCATTTTTCGAGCCGGATCCGCCTGTGAGGGTCCTGGGGCCCGAATTTGGGCGATCTCGGAAAAATTGAGTCGCCAGGATCTCACGGATGGCCCAGACCGCCGACGTCACGTTTTGTGCCACGACGCCGCGGGTCGGCTTCTCGTTGCTGGCCCGCGGGGGCCCGAAGACGGCCCTCGGGCGGTGAGCTCGCGAACACGCTGCCCGTCGACGAATGCCGTTCCGCAGTGCACGGGGGGCCTGGGCCCCTCCCCCATCCACGTCGACCCCCGGGCCGGTCCTCGGGCGCATCCCGACACGGCCCGGCAGGGACTTCGAGGCGGGGCTAACCAGTGCGACGACAGACCCCCCAGCACAGATAGATCCGAGGGCGTGATCTCTTCAAGACGGGGTCCCCGGAAGTCTCGACCCATTCCTTGGGAATTGTGCTTCATCCTGAGTCGTTTTTTTGACGGTCCTGGTGCCCGGCGAGGGCCCCTACAGAGGCCGAAAACTGCGAAAGACCCCCGCCTTGATTTTTTGTCAACGCGTTGGACCTCTGGGAGCAGGTCCGACAGCATGCTAGCAAAACACGGCGGACGACGGCGCCGGCCACGGCGACGGCCGCGGTGACGGCGGCCTGCCGGGCAGCGCGCGGCCCGAGGCACGACGTGGGACGGGACCCGCGCGATCAGGATCGACCTCGGGCAGCCCCCCTGGATGGCGGCGGACGGAGGCCGTCGGCAGGGGGGGGCTCCTCCTCCTCCTCCTCCTCCTCCTCCTCCTCCTCCTCCTCCTCCTCCTCCTCCTCCTCCTCGTCCTGCTCCTCCTCCTCCTCCTCGTCCTCCTCCTCCTCCTTCTCGATCCTCGCTCCTCCATCCTCGATCATCGCTCCTCCATCCTCGATCCTCGATCCTCCTCTTCTTCCTCCTCCTCCTTCTCATCCTCCTCTTCACCCTACGTTTCCTCCCCCTCCCTCTTCTCCCCCTCCCAGGGGGGCGGATCCGCTGGGAGTTCAGGAGCGAAGCCAACACGTACGACGCACCTGGATTCACAGGGGCAGCCGAACTAGAGAGGGACCGCGCGGCGCGAGCGCTCCCGGCAGGGGGGCGGCCTCTCGCGGACAGGGGGGCGGGGGGCGTGTTCGCGTGTGCGCGGCCGGCCGCGCCCGTGCGCCTCGGTGCTCCCTGGGGGTTGGCCCCCGGCGGCGAGCGGCAGAGGCGGTGTCGCGAGGGGTGCGGCGGCTCTCTTGGAGGGCGGGGGCCCTCTCAGAGAGGGGAGCGCTCGAGAAGACCCCTTTGAGACAATCGAGGAGGATCGAGGATGCCGGAGAAGGATCGAGGGGGAGGAGGAGGAGGAGGAGGAGGAGGAGGAGGAGGAGGAGGAGGAGGAGGATCGAGGAGGATCGAGGAGGATCGAGGAGGATCGAGGAGGAGGAGGATCGAGGAGGATCGAGGAGGAGGAGGAGGAGGAGGAGGAGGAGGAGGAGGAGGAGGAGGAGGGGGACCGAGGATGTTCGAGTCGCAACGCCGATGCATGGGTGATGCGACTCGACGTGGAGCCAGATTTTTTCCACGCCGACGTCGCGGATGCATCGCCGACGACGCCGATGCACCCGCAATGCACTGGAGATGCAGTGCGATCTTCCGACCCCATCAATTCGGGCCCCCTTTGGGAGGCTTCCAAGAATTTGGGTTCACAGGCGCAATGCAGGTAGGTCGACAATACGTAGCTGATGCTCTAACATCGGATTCAGGCTCAAGCCGCTAAGCCTGTTGGCACAAATACAGGCTGCAATCGGGGACCAGTTGACATCGAATTAAGTGTTTGTCTGGCATAACCTTGTTCATAGGACAGCTGACGGGTATTCATCCCACAGCCCATACTGGGACAGGTAATTTCAGCATGTCTCCATCCCAAGCTCAACACTTCTGGCAGCGTAGAGCATAACAGAAGCGCCTGGTTCCCCATAGTCCATCAGCACAGAGGGTGGAAAGTGCAATGTTTAATCGCTTCGCTCATTCCGCCGACCCATATTGTCGCATTAGCGGACGATGTGGAGAAGGAAGGAGGAGTCATGTCAATGGTTGTTTGGAAATTTTGTAGAGGAAATTGGGTCGTTGACAAGACGGGTCTCTGGGAGACGTCGTGGGGTTTCTTGGAAGTCCTTTTGGGAGCCTCTTGGGAGTTTCCTGGGCTACCATTTTGGGGTTTCTGGGAGTTTCTTGGGGCTCTGCTGACGGTCTCGTGAGGGATCTCGCGGGAAAGGGCTGGACATGGCAGCTCGGAGTACCGCTCTTGGGTTTTCTTTCTGAGCCTCCGGAGCCGTCTTGAGGAGCTTTTTGGGCTGTCTCTCATCGTTCTGGGAGTATGTTGGACCGTGTTGGGGCGATTTTGAGGACCTCCTGGGCAGTTCTAATCGCTGTGAAACCTCAAAGTCGCTTATGCGAAACAATTTACGTTTGCCGCAGGATATGGGAGGATTTGTGCATCTTGGGGCCCTCTTGGAGAGCCTCTTGAGGCTCTCTCGGTTTCTTGACGGCCTCTAGGGTTGTCTGGAGGCCATCTTGGGCGTCATGGAACGAACTTTCGGCGACTCGGGGCCTCTTAGACCGTCTAGGGGGCGTCTGGGGCACTCTTGGGGACCTTGGGAGGGCACTGCCGGGAGTTTGCTGGGAGTCTCCCTGGTTTCGGCCGGGGTACTTTTCATTCCGGGATTCCCAGGGGCCGCCACGCGCGCGCGAATTAGAATTTGTAAACGTGTAGCCAGAAATCTTGGCACGCCCTTGGCCTGTTGGGCTGGCGAATTATCGCATGGTCCCGCCCACGTTTTCAAGGGGGGAGAGGAGTCGGCAGCCCATTGTTTATGCTCGAATTCTCGGATCTCAGAACGAACAAGAGTTTGACGCCGTTTTTTCTTCCCTGACCTGGCGGCCAGTTCAAGCGTGCGGCCGCCACGAGGCCTGCTGCTCGCAGATCGAGACGGCAGTGTCAAGAGAGCGCGAAAGCGTGGAAGCGCGAGGACTTCGCGCGAGCGCGCTACCCAGTTACAGGGAGAGGGCCATCCAATGCCTTCAAGGCCGTCAGCGCAAGGACGTCCGACCGATTGCGCGTGGCCCCCTCCCCCATTCCTGCCGCGTTCTGCGGTCTCGTCCACGGGCCGATTGCAGGATCGGGGTCGCCGCCGCGTCTGGCGGGCTGCGTGATGGATGCGCGCGGTCGACGACTGTGTCAGGTCGTCCCCTCATCAGACGCGGCCCTCCGAAGCGGCCCTTTAGGCCGCGCCGGTTGCAAGTGCGCACATGTTGCTGCGGCGCTAGGCGTGGAGACCACACGCACAGTCGACCCTGCTCTGCGGCGCTGGGTCCGCGCCCAGAGCGGGAGAGAGACGGGCTCACGGGGGAGAGGGCGCAGCGCCAAAGGTCGCAGCCTGAGAGGCAGCCGCTCCACTGCGAGAGGGTGGTGCCGAGCCTCGGCCCGTGCGAAGTTCTCGAGTGCAACTCGGGCAGGCAGCCAGACGTGCATGTGGCTGCCGAGTTCGGCCCAATTGTGTTGAAACAAGGTGTTTAGTTAGCGCAAGAGCAATGATTCAATTATCTGAGGATCCTCTTTGCTGTTAGCAAGGCTCGCAGACGACACAACTTGAGCAGAATGCCTTTGAGCGCAGCCTGGCCCTGCTTGAACGCAGTGAAGTGTCTTGCTGGGCTGGGGGTACGTGAGACGTGCAGACCTGTAATCCTTACTGTCCTCTGCTCTTTCCTCCTCGCTCTTGTTTGTGTCCTTCCGGGAAGGCAGCACTGGACTCCATTCGCCCTAGGCAGTGCATCGCGTGACGCTGGTGAAGGCTGTTGCCACGGTCACCTCTTTGATGGCTTCCAGGATTGACGTGCTGGGGGCGCCACATGTATCCCCTCTTTTCGGGGGGCGCTTGCTCACTCCATTCCTCCTCCTCCTCCACTCCTCGGCCCATCTTCGTTCGAGGCAAAAAGCCGCCTGCCCAACAGCGGCCGCTGTCGTTTTGAGACAATATTTGTAGCTGGGCGTCGTAACATTTTTTCCGTACCCATGTCGGGCATCCAGAAGATTGTTGTTTTGTTAGACGCACGTGCTTAAACGCAACACGTGCCATCTTCAAGACGTCCGTGGTGACACGCTGCGTGTTGGTTCGGCACGTGTTGGCCAGCGTTTTGGAGTATCGCGCCAGACGCCAGTGTTTCCAGTCTACGCGTTGAGCTTGGTGTCAATATGCTATGGGTTGCATGTTGCGTAGCATCCGTCATAAATACATACACATATACATATATATATATATATATATATGCACACTGACCCTCAATGGATTCCTCCTGGGCCTAATGGGGAGGGTGGTGGTGTATAAATCACCGCTGGGGGCAGCGACTTTATACACCGCCGCCCTCCCTGAAGGTACATGCAAAGATCGTCCGAGGGCGTCTGGCTAAGTATTTTCGCGGCGAATTGCTGGGCAGCTACGTTGCCCAGGGTCACTCTCCCCCAATCCCTGAGTTTCGCCCGAAACGTTTGGCCGCTCAGATAAAAGGGAAACCTTGGGATACAACCCAAGGGGGCTATTCGCACGCACCCCCATCGTAGATCCCGGGGTTAGGCCCCAAATTCCTGGTGCATTCGAAAACCCCACGAAGCTTATCATCTTGCGTGTGGCCGACGCCGCGCCACCGAATTTGGCTTTTGGGTCATACCTGGGGTCTCTGGCAGACTATCTGGGCCCCCCCGGAACGCTCTCGGCGGGGCGCAGCCGCTGGAACGCACCCCGAGGGTTGGAAAACCGCCGAAAACGCCCGAGAGCCTCGAACCCGACACTCTCTTGCGTGTCGCCGAGCCCCCGCGCCAACCGCAGGCGTGGAGCTCAAGGTCGTGCTCCGGGACCGCCAGAAGTGCGCCGGCGTCGCCCCCGTGCGGGTGAGGCCCGCCGCCCTCAGAGCAGAGGCCCCCGCTCGGCCGCAATCGGGGCCAGACCCTGCCGCCGATCTCTGGCCGATCCCGTCGATCCAGCGGGCCAGGGTGGTCCCTCCGCCTCCGCCTCCTCCCTGCCTCCTCCTCCGCCTCCTCCTCCTCCTCCTGCTCCTCCTCCTCCTCCTCCTCCTGGTCTATCTCAGCGGCGAGCGAGGGCGGGAAGGTGAGAAGAATCGGCGGTTCGAGGTTTTCGGTCTTTTTCTGGCGGTTTCGTGGGTTCTCTGCGGCTTTCCACCCTCGGGATTCGTTCCAGCTGCTGCGCCTCGCCGAGACCGTTAAGGGTGCCCGGATCGTCCCGAACGACCGCCGCAGACCCGAGTCACGGCCCCAAAACCAGATTCGGTGGCGCGCCCAGGGGGAAGTGAGAAGTAAAAGGCTTTCCCAGAAGGCGCAGGGGCTTCTCAGAAGCCCGCCGGCCTTCTGAGGGGAGGTTTTCGGTATCTTCGGGGGAGGCGCAGAAAACTTCTGTCAAGAGGCCAGGGTGCTTCCGAGCCTTCTGAGGATGCCTTCTCCTTCTCATTTCCCCCCTCGCTCGCCGCCGTGGGTTTCGAGAATGAGCGAGTGAGCGTTCGTTACGAGGCTGGCCTCGCGAGCTGGGCGGTCGTATTCACATGCGTGGCTTGACGCGTTAATTGCGCCTTCTATGGGCTGAGGCGGCGATTGCGCGTCATTTGCGCGTTAATCGGCTGGTCGGAGTCCCGGATCAGCGGGGCGCCCCGTGCCTCCGAACGACCTGACATACACCAAGACCGAGGGGGCCATAGGCAAACTGGCCACGTGGGTTCATACGGGGCGGGCGGCTGGGGATCGGCGCGCTTCCGGATCCAGACGCTTTCTGGAGCGCTCCGGCGTTCACCGGGCTCCGGGGCCATCCGTGGGTTGATCGGGCTTTCGGGCTTTCGGGCTCGGGGTGGTTCGGGCTCGGGGTGGTGGTGGTTAGTGCGTAAAGAAAGCAAGTTGCTGGCAGAGCATTGCGTGCCACGACCACGGCGACGCCGACGACGACGGAGACGAGGCGCGCTCATGATCCGCACCGAAGCACGGATTTGGGAAAGGGACCCCCTGCGAGGTTTGGGACACTGCCCATCGTTGAGCGGCGCTGCGGCCTCCCCCCGCGCTCGGCCCCCCGTCCCAGGGGAAGCAATAGCCAGACATGCCCATTGGCTCGGGATAAGACGTAGCGGTCCCCGGGATTGGAGGGTCGGGGGCTCGGGGCGCCCAGCGGCGCCGACCAGCAAGAGCGAGCCGCCGGAGGTCTTGTGCGGCTGGATCGGGCCGGCCAGGGTCAGGGTCAGGAGCAGGGCATGGACCAGATGTCGCCATGGAGCAATCCTTGACCTTCAACGTATTGAGCAAAAATAAAGACGGATGTTTTTCATTTTTTGTTCTGCGTCTGGGGGCCCTCACCTGGCCCCGGTACCGTCAACAACATTGCCCAGGACGAGCACCCGGTCTTCAGGATGTGGTCCACAGCTACAGGGACTTCGTATCGAAAAGCTCCAGACATAGGAGGTCTGGGAACCGGTCTTGGAGGAAACGGGTCCTCAGGTCGTCCACAGTTTTTGGGGCTCGCAGGGCCCTCCGCAGGCTCTCCGGGACTGTCAGAAGACGACGCAGGATGAAGAATCGGTCCCAGGGGATGGCGCTAGGTGTCAGGACCTTAGTTGCTCTGATACGCCCGTTGAGAAACGCAACACGCACCGTGTTCAAAACGTCCGTGTCAACACGCTGCGTGTTGGCTCAACGTGTTGGCCCACGTTTTGGCGAATGTTTCGTACCAAACATACGTTTTCAGTCCACGTGTTGAGCTCCGTGTCAACACGCTACGGGCTGCGTGTGGCGCATCGGGGCGGCCAAGTCCAGGACCCGTTTCCCTGAGCCTGTCTGCTTCACGCCAAGGCTTGGGCAGATGGGGCGCCACCGAGGCCAGAGCTCATCACGCCGGCCGCGCAGCAGGCCTACAGGCCGCCCGTCGGGGCGGGGCATCCCGGTGTGCACAGACGGCAGCGCAGCCCTTGCTCGTGCTTGGGCGTCGCGTAACGGGGGCGATAAGTGAGCGACGCACCAAAGCGGGTTCGACTGCGCCGACATTGGCGCGTAAACTACCCACACAAGATCGCGCTTAAGCGCCCTCGCTTCCAGCGTGGCGTGCCGCGCTGGCGGCCCGCGCAAGCCACCGCGTATGGTCGCTATGTCATCTCGCGTAAGAGCGGTTTGGGATTGTCGCCCAGATGGGGGGGCAGCGAGGGCTGCATAAAAGGAGCCCCTTGGGGCCTCTGAAGGGGCCCTTGCTTGAGGCCCCACGAGGGGGCCTTCAGGGCCCGAGAAGGGCACCTCTCTCCCCTCCCCGCTCATCGCCCCCGCCCCCCCCGCTCTGTAGCGTTGCCCGAGAGCCAGCTTTCCAGCCCGAGTGGTTCCTCACTGTCCCTGGGCCCGGCGAGGGAGGCGGGAAACAGCCACAAGCACAACTTTGGCGTGCAGTTGTCTGCAATGCCTGGGAGGCCTGGGCAGGAGGAGCGACGACGACGACGACGACGACGAGGAGCGACGACGACGACGACGAGGAGCGACGTCGACGACGACGACGACGACGACGACGACGACGACGACGAGGACGGGGACGAGTACGTGGACGAGGACGAGGACGACGACGAGGACGACGACGACGCCGGCGCGCCTCGGTCAGGCGGCTCGCCGCCGCAGTGGAGGGAAGGAAGGCGGCCGAGCTGAAGGAGGCCATCGCGCAGGCGCCCCGGCCGCCGCCATCGAGCTGTGTTCCCCGCCGCCAGCGCCGTGGCGCCGCCGCGTCCTGCCGTCAGCTGGGCGACCTGCGTACCCAGAGATACCTTCGAGTCATGAAAAGATCATGACGGGAGGGGTTTCGCTATCTTCGGCCTCTGGAGACCCTTGCCGGGCCTCGGGGCCGTCAACAAACGATTCAGGATACAGGGCTGGTCCCGGGGAATGGGACGTCTGGGGTTCTGGCGGGCGAGCGGGGACCGGCGAACGGGGACTGGCGAATGGGGAGCGGCGAACGAGAACAGGCGAACGGGGACTGGCGAACGCGGACACCAGCGAACGGGGACCCCGCGAACAGTGACCCGGCGAACAGGGACTCAGGCGAACGGGGACCAGCGAGCGGGAGCCGGCGAACAGGGACTCCGGCGAGCAGGTTCTGCATCGTCGACGTTGTGAAAGATCATGGCGTCGGCGGTCTGGGTATGGCGCGGGCGGCGGCTCCCTGTCGGTCCATCTCCCTGGTGTGCGGGCGTCCATCCCTGGTGCGGGGACGCTGTCCCCAGACATGCGATGCCTTGGTTTGGGGCCCCCCTGAAGTCCCAACCCTTTGCCTGGGGCCCGGTTTTTTTCATCCTGAGTCGCCTTTTTCACCAGATTCTAAGTACGGGGTTGTTGTTATTGCTGGGACGCCTCCGCCTCCTCACTCCCGCGTCCTCCCTCCCTTGCATCACATTAGGGTCACTCAGATTGAGACTCAACCACGCCCAGATCACTCACACTCAGCACTCATATTCACTCAGACCCAGCTAAACCATACTAGTCTGTAGCAGGCGTGGCACTTGGGGACCCCAATAGGTGGTCGCCAGGGACTATGACACTCGCCCGTTCGCGCACAGATTGTGGGGATGTCTCAAACGTTTGCTTGTTGCTGCCACCCGGACTCCTTCTTTCTGAGACCCCCATCATCACCGCGACAATGCAGGCGTGGCACGTGGGCCCCCCAATGGGGTGTCGCCAGGAGATATGATACTCACCCGCTCGCGCCCAGATTGTGTAGATTTCCCCAGCGGTGCGCCTATTCTTGCCACTCTGACTTTTCTCTTTTGAGGGCGCAATGGTCGCCGCCAGGGGATGTTACATTCGCCCGTTCGCGGTCAGATAGTGAGAATGTTTCAAGCGGTTTGCATTTGCTTGCCACCCGCGCACTCCTTCCTTGCGAGAGCCCCTTGATTACCGCGTCAGTAGTAGGGCGGCCCTGCCAAATCAAGAGTATCACTGTGTCCTGTGCTTAGTGCCTCATGCCTCCACATTATGATGGCAATGCGGCCCTCAGAAGGGTCTTGTGTCCTCTCTTGTGTCCTCGCCAATCTAACTCGATTGTGGCAGGCGTGGCACTTGGGCACCCCCAAGGAGGAGCCGCTAGGGGGTTGCTACACTCGCCCGTTCGCGGTCAGACTGTTGGAGCGTCTCAGGCGATTTGCTCGTCTCGTGGCCGGGACTCTGTTTCTTTCAGGGCAGGTGGCGAGAAGTTCTCAAGCGAGGTGCTTGTTTTAGCACCCCAAGGGGGAGCTGCCATGGGGTGTAACACTCGCCTCTTCGCGGCCAGATTGTGAGGATGTCTCAGGTGGTTTGCTCGCGCCAGGAACCGAGACATGCACATCTGGGGATCCTCGCGTCGAACGGTCGACGGTCCCGAGGCCCAGCGAGGGCTCCCGTCACGGGAGGGGCCGCGCACTCGGCGCCCCGCTCGCGAGCCGCTCGGGCCGAGCCGTCGCAGCGGTCGTCGTCGTTGTCGTCGTCGTCGTCGTCGTCGTCGTCGTCGTCGTCGTGACGCGAGCACGTCTGGGCCCCATCCCGTCCGAGCGTACCCCGCGCGGCGGTCGCGCACGAGTCTGCGGCGCGTCGGGTCGCCTCGCGCGCCCGCCCCTGGCGCGGGCGGCGGAGCGCTGGGGTGCCCGCTGGGGGAGGCCTTCGAGCGCGAGGCCTTCGAGCGTTCGCGTCCCCTGTTAATCAGCGCATTGAAAAAAAACATCGAGGCTGAGAGTTTTTATTCCGCGAGTGTCGGCCTCCAGGGGCCCTCGCCTTGCCTCGGGACTGTCAAACAACGACGCAGGATAAGAAACCCGTCCTGGGGAATGGGTCGAGACTTCTGGGGACCCCGTATTGAAAAATCACGAGATAGGATCTCTGGGTCGCCTTCGCCCTCGGCCCGCGCATCACGCATGGCGCATCCTCGTTCTCCCCCTCGCCTCAGCGGAGGAAAAGGTAGCGACACCGCTACCCTTCGCCCGTTTTCCCCTTTTGGGGCTTCCTGGGGGGCCCTCGTCGCCACCGCTGGATTCGTCTTGAAAACCAGGTCAGGACGCACCCCAGGAGAGGTCCCGGGAGTAGCGGTATAGGTACTTTTTGATTTCTCCACCTTCGACCCGCGCATCAGGCATGGCGCATCCGCGTTCTCTCCTCGCCCTCAGCATTGTCGGAGTCGTCGTGCTCCTCGCGGTCGGTGGCTTTTGCTCAGCGTGTCGCTGCGCCGATTTTGGCCCACCACGCCTCGGCGCGACATGCTAGCCACGTCCGAGTGCCCGAGCGTCTTCGTCCCGAGCTTTTCCGCGCCCCATGCCACGCGGAGCGGAGCGACACGTCATCCGCTCGCAAGGTATAGCTTGTCTCCGAGGACGGCGCCGCGACACGCTAAGCACAAATGTTTCACCTCAGCCTTTTTCAGATTTACGCGGCCCGCAAGCGCGCCAAGCTGGATCCCCAGGTCTGCCAGCAGTAGGACTAATGAGGACTTGCAGAGGCATGCGTACATGGTTCAGCGAACACGTCAGCGCCTGTGTAGAATCCCGTGCGGATGCGGACGTGTACAACTGGCAGCGTCCGACTTACCCAAGCGAGCCCGACAAATCTTTAGAGCTTGCCTTCGCGTGTTGCTAGAAGTGCCCCTGGCCCAAGGTGCGCCAAGGATTTCCAAAGAGGACACCAGAGATTCCAGAGCACGCCTCGCGAGGCCCAGAGGGCCCCAGGGGGCTGCAGCATGGAGCGACAAGCTGGGGGCACCTTGGGCCCGGGGCACCTTTCCCAAACCCCAGACTCGCCCCAGACTCCTCCGAGCGCACGCCCATCGGCCGGGGGAGTGGATCGAGATCCGCAGGAGCTGCTTCGTAGCAGGCTCGACGTAAGAGGCTCTCGGAGGGGGGGGGGGCAGAGGTTGCGGGACTGCCGCGGGTCGGCCCCTTGGCATGAGCCTTCCTCCACAGCCAGCATGGGCCTGATGCTTCAGTGCAGCCCCCCCATCACTTGGGCCCCGTCTCTCAGGAGCGAAAGAAGGACGTACACGTATATGAGTCCAGTTTGGTTGCGAATGTACGCATTGCGCGAATATTCGTAATATCACGTCCTTCGTGGGCCCCCAAGTTTCAATAGTTGCAGAACTGCTCCCAGTGCCTTGCTAATCCCGAGGTGCTGCTTCCTCCTCCCTCCTACCACCCTGCCCTCGTCCACTTGCGCAGACATCCAACAAGGTTCGGACAACCTTTCGGAATTTCCGACCCGTCCTCCGGAACACATGCGCAACAAAATACACGAATCATGTTGAGCACCTCCTCCCCTCCCTCCCTCCCTCAGTCCCCCTCCTCTCCTTGATTTGCGGCTGCCGCCGCTCGTTGCGTTCGTTCGTTTGCCGTCGTCGCGTCGTCGTCCTCACCCTCGTCATTCGTCTTCGCCGTCATCGTCGGTTGCTGGCTTTTTCCTTTTCTGCCCGGACCTCGTGCCCCTACGCGGACGCGCGCGGGGTTAACTTAGAATCCTCGAACCCTGGTGGCGAGGAGGAGGAGGCGGGGAGAGGATCGTAGAACGTACCAAGAGGAGGAGGAGGAGGAGGAGGAGGAGGAGGAGGAGGAGGAGGAGGAGGAGGGATGAGGAGGAGGAGGAGGAGGAGGAGGAGGAGGAGGAGGAGGAGGAGGAGGGATGAGGAGGAGGAGGAGGAGGGATGAGTTTGGATTGCGACGCTGACACCTGCACTGCAAATGGGATAATCTCGAGTAGAGTAGGGCCGCCGAGGAAGCAAGCCCAGTAGAGGAGCCTCAGCGACGAAGCCGACGGGACGCGCCGCCCCGAAGCGCCGAGGCGAGAGGAGGGAGGAGGTAGGGAGGGAGGGAGGGAGGGAGGGAGGGAGGCAGTATCAAGCAGTGGCGGAGCGTCCTGGCTCGCCTATCGGCCCACCAAAGAATGTTCTAAGAACTTTTTGTGGTCTGCACGAAATGTTCTTCGATCATTTCTGGCTGAGGCTGTCTTGTGTAAACGATGATGTTCTAAGAACATTGGTTTGTTCTTCGATCATTAGTGGGTTCTAAGAACATGTCGTGTTAGGCCTACAGGAAGCCGGGACGGGCGGTCCCTGCTCCACAGGAGGGATGGAGGAGGCAGGAGGGAAGGGCGCGACCCGCAGGGCCAGGCCGCTGGTCTCGCAGACTTTGAGCTCAAGCCTGCCAAGGATTCGGGGAGCCTCTCCCTCCCTCTATTCCCTTCTTGGCTGACGTCGGAGGCTGTCAGAAGGGTTCGTTGCACAAGGTTGGTTTCGCCAGACCCGAGGCCCCCCAGCCCGACTCGAGGCCCCCCAGTTCGACCTGAGGCGCCCCAGCCGTCGAAATCACCCTTCTTGAACTAGACCTTCTTGAAAAAAGTTACAAGTGGTCTCCAACCTTTTACAGGGGGATGCAAGGGGGAGAGCCTAGACCCCCCAGCGTCGCGAGAAAAACACGCCGGGCAGTTGATCCGTCTATTTTGACGCCTGGGAGCCATCTCGGGGCCCCGATAATATCCCCGCAGCGCCAATGAAAGTCCAATGCTAACAAGGGAATGCATCCTCTGTTCTCCTTCATGTTGCGTGCTGTGTCCACCGTGTCATTGCCCCGTGCGCACAACGGCGCACGCCTGCGGGCGGCATCAAATCCGAGATGTTGGAGTGGAAGCTCCTCGACCAGCGCCTGCAGCACGGGGCTCTCAATTCCTCAAACAGTGCTTGTGCTTTGGGGTCCAGGTTTCGCTGGTGGGCGGCCGTGGGCGCCTCGTTCGTGGGCGCTTCGGTGCCCCGTGCGATGGCTGGCTGTGTCGAGGTTTCACGTAGTGGCTGGCCGTCTGCGCCTCGTGGGCGCCCCGTGCGCTGGCTGCGTGTGTCGATGCTCCGCCTGATTGGCGGCCGCGGGTGCCTCGCGCTGCTTGCGCTATAGAGCTTGTGTCACGCAGCTTAGGCGTCTTGTCTGCTTGCACGTTGAGTCTTACACAGGGTGCGCCACACAGCTTCCACCCTGCATTTTGCACCTCGTCGCTTGCACCACACACCGCTTGCTGCTCACGCCACACCTGCGTACACGCCACACATAGACTGCACCAAATTGCTTGCATCGCGCATTCCTAGCAGGCCGCATGGCCTGCTTCACACGCGGTCACCACGTAAGCTTACACACCCGTGGCGGGCCCACGCTGGCAAATGTTCGGCTTATGAATCATCGGCATGCGGTTCGGAGCTTGCGCCCGTCACCGGCACGTCGCCGTCGCCAGCACGTCGCCGTTCAGGGCCCCAAAGGGCGAGATGTGCCCAATAATATTGTGTCATGACGCGGTCCCCAGAAGTCCCGACCCCAGGTCCCGTTTTTCCTCCTGACTCGTTTTGTGATGGTCCCGGGGCCCAGCGAGGGCCCCCCGGAGGCCGGAAATAACCAACAATTTGTTGTTGTGTTTTTTTCACGTCGCGAGCATAGAGTGGAGGGAGGAGGAGTGGAGGCTCAGGAGGGAGGAGCTCGAGCCTCCCTCTCTCGTCTTCCCTCTCTTGACTCTTGCCCCGTCCCCGCCCCGGATCGCACGGCCCCGCAGGGCCCGCACGGGCCGAGTTTTCCTCCCTTCGTCTTCGGCTTGCGGCCTCTCGGCTCCGGCTCCTCGGAGCGGCGCTCGACTCATTCATGCTGCTCGCACGCATTCCGACTGCTGCTCTCAAGGGAGGAGAAACCACCCAGACCCGGACAACTTGGCGTTTACTAAACGGCATTGAGCGTTTACTAAACAGCCCTGCCCTCTTCGATTCCTTCCCTGAGTGCGTTTACTACTCGGCTTCGCTTGTCGGGGTGCTCATTATGGGGGTGGATTTTCTGCCCTTTATGCTCTTCGCACTACACTACAGTGGAAACCCGTGGCAAGAAACACCCCTCTTGCCTCCAGGGTGCCCTGGGTTTCTTGGGTTTCGATGGCTTTGCTCTGGACAGCGTGACGTTCCCACACCACAAATCAATAGACGTCCTGGGGTTTCAGGCTTGGGTCTCTTGCGGAAGATCTCATGTGGTCGAGCTCCTGTTATACAAGGTTAATGCACATCAGGTTTAGCCCGGCACTCAAGCGGCTATCTTTGTGCACGTGCGGCGCACATGTCATGGGTCTGGTGCTGCCACGGAGAAGGAGAGCGTGCCCTCGATTATTGCAAGACTTGAGGTCGAATGCACATATGAAGGGCCTCGCCCCCGCCAGCGCCCCCCCCCGCTCTTGTTTTCGTGTGTGGCCGACAGTGGGCGGCTAGCTGGTGTCTCGGCTGCTCAGTTGGTGGTCTGCCTGGCTGATTCGTCGGCAGGGTGGCTGGCTGAGGATCTGGTTGGCTGAAGGGCTGCTCGGGAAGGGATAACTGTTTTTTTCCCCTTATTTCAGGTGGAGAAGCTTCTCCCCCTGAAGAAATCCTTCTCCCCCTGACATTTTTGGGAAAAAATTGCTCGCTGGTCGGAAGGCTGGTTGGGTGGCTGACGGGCTTGGGGCGCGGAGCCTTCGTCTTTGACAGGCGATCGTGGCCTCGAAGGCGCGGGCCCCTTGCTTTTGTACAAGGGCTGTGGCCTTGAAGTGGCGGATCCATTTTCCCTTACGGCGGATCGTGTACCCGAAGGTGCGGGTGAATTGTTTTTGTCGAGGGATCCTGGTTTGGGCGTGTCGTTTGATTGGTTTCGGGAAGAGGGAAGCCGCGCGCGTGCTTAGGAATCCCACCAGCCCTCTGGGGGTAGGTGGTCTAGGGAGGCTCCTCTTCCAACCCCCTTCTTCCCCTTCGGGGAGGGGCTTATATTGTTCCCTATTGAAATACACCTCCTCCTCCACCCGGCCGGCGGCCAACCAGGAACCACGCTCCCCCCCCCAAACATCTTTGTCAAAGAACACAAATTCATGTTGCCTCCACATGTGGAGCATGCGCGGCCAACCCGATGCGGCTCCCCCCCACCATCCATGCCGAAAGACAACACAAAGCACATTTTGAGGCAAAATCTGGAGTTGCGTGACTGTCGTCCAGGGCACGGCAGGCGTGGCGTATTCTCGACACCATAGGGGGTCCGCACGGGGTGGTCCTTGAGGGCGGCCGCTGTCCGTAACGGTCGTCCAGGGCACGGCAGGCGTGGCGGATTCTCGACACCACAGGGGGTGCGCACGGGGTGGTCCCTGAGCGCGGCCGCTATCCGTGACGGTCGTCCTTGCCCCAGCAGGCGTGGCAGATTCTCGACACCGCCTGGGGTGCGCACGGGGTGGTCCCTGAGCGCGGCCGCTATCCGTGACGGTCGTCCAGGGCACGGCAGGCGTGGCGTTTTCTCGACTCCACAGGGGGTGCGCACGGGGTGGTCCCTGAGCGCGGCCGCTATCCGTGACGGTCGTCCTTGCGGTATCGGCGGGGCAACGGCCACCAACATCATTCTCACATGCTTCACTTCAGCTATCATCACTCCAGCCATCATATAAGTATGTGGGGATCCTCGGTAGCGTAATTGTCGGGGGTGATAGCCCTGCGCGCGGCAGGCAACATGCTCACACTCCCGCCGTCCCTGTCAAACACAATACAAAGTGCTCGTGGGCCTCACGAAACGCCACGCCTGCTGTGCCCTGGAATACCGTCACGGATAGCGGCCGCCCTCAGGGACCACCCCGTGCGCACCTCCTATGGTGTCGAGAAAACGCCGCGCCTGCTGTGCCCTCGACGACCGTCACGCATCGCGGCCGCGCTCAGAGACCACCCCGTGCGCACCCCCTGTGGTGTCGAGAAAAACGCCACGCCTGCTATGCCCTGGACGACCGCCACGCATAGCGGCCGCGCTCAGGGACCACCCCGTGTGCACCCCCTATGGTGTCGGGAAAGTGCCACACCTGCTCCGCCCTGGACGACGTGTTGCGTGTGGGTGAAGGGAAGAAGGACGGAGGCGGGAGGTGGTGAGGGAGACGCGGGTGCGACGCGGGTGGGAAGAAAACCAGAACCCCACGACACATGCGAGGAAAAACAACAATACAACATGCACCTTTCGACTAAATCTGGATAGTGCGCGGCCACCCCGCGATCACTGTCAAGTGGTGTTTGACCGGGACCGCGGGGTGGTGTCGCATGGTCTGCTGTGCGCAGGCCCACCAGAGACAATGATGGGCATTGGTTTTCGACGAGGATGGTGGGGGCCGGCATGTTTCCCGATGTGTGCTGTCACGTGCGCGGGCGTACCTGACACATTCTGCACGGGCCCGGAACGTGGCGCACCTGGCGCGGCTGGAGTGTGCGGAACACTTGGCGCACTCGGAGCACGTGGCGCATCTGGCGCAGCAGGCGTGCTTGGCACGCGTGGCGCACCTCGCCCCAGCGTCACGCACCTGGGGTCGGCTTGGGTTCCCTGTAGCTGTCCATCCAAAGACGACCGCTGAACATGGTCAGGCTCGGGTGTCATTCATGTTTTGGGAGGGCGTGTGTGAGTGAGCTAGACGGCTTGCGGGCGGGTGGGTAGCTCGACCCCTCCCCTTGCCCCCTCCCCTTAATCTGGACGGGGAGGGGGCCGCGAGGCGTTGGAGCGTCCAAGATGGCCCAAGACGGCTCCAAAAGGGCCCCTGAGAGTCCGAGATGAGCTCCAAGATTGCTCAAGATAAGGCACGATGCCTCAAGATGGCTCCCAAGATGCTCCAAGAGGCCCCAATAGCGTTCCAAGACGGCTCCGAGATGCATCCGAGACCTCCGAGGAGGCCCCCTAAGAAGCCAACATCCTTCAAACACCGAAGGACAATCAATGTGTTTTGCTGTCTCGCCTTTTCGCGTCCGATGGCCATCCGAGGCCTCAAGATGGCTCCAAGCTGGGCCAAGCGAGCCCCAGGAGAGGCCCAAGAGAGCCTCAAGACGGCCCCAAGAGCGCCCAAAGAGCGCTCCAAGAGGGGTCGAGCAGGCGACTTTCGGTGCTCCCGAGGGGGGAGAGTAATTGCAGCTCCCTTCTTTTTTGATCGATGTCCTCCAAGATGGTCCCAAGAGCGCCCTGAAGCTCCCAAGAGCGCCCCAAGAGGACCCCAAGAGGCGCCCAGACGGCCCCAAGAGGCCTCCAAGAGGCTCCCAAGAGACCCCATGCGAGGCCGCATGAGTATCCCCGAGGTGCCCAACTCTCCCTCCTCCTCCTTCTCGTTCTCCTGGCCCTCGCCCTACTCCACCTCCTCTTCCTCCTCCTCCTTCTCTTCCTCCTCCTTCTCCTCCGACGACGACGATTCCTCCTCCATCCTCCCCCTCTTGGGTTATAGGACGGCTTCCCCCGACCTTTGTTCTTCTGCTTGCATGATCCCCCACTTCCCTGATCACCTCAACTCCCCTGGGCATCGTTGCTGGATGGGCTGGCGGGGATACATTTTGGATTGCGAGTGGCGCGGAAGCAGCCGCACACCGTCAAAGGGTCGAGCAGCACAGGGCCAGGGCGCACGGCGCAACTATCGCCAGCGAAGCGCAGGAAAGGAGGCCACGATGGTGGCGAAAACTACCAGGCGAGGCGCAGCGGCAACGCGGAAGGGGCGAGGGCGAACGAAGAACAAGAGGAAGAAGGCGAACGAGGGACGAAGGAGACAAGGAAGAGACGGCGGGCGCGCAGGGGATCAGGCTCAGGCGGCAAAGAGGTCGAAGTGCCTTGCCGAAGAGCAGGGACATGAAGTACTGAGGGGGTCGCGAAACCACAGACGCACACCAAGCGTACGTGACATAAAATCCAGCAAGTCGTCTCCAGGGCCACAGAATGAGCAGGATGGTAACGCCCTCCAGGAGCCATCAGGGGAGTAAGCACGCCCCAAGTGCGACGATGAGAAGAAACGGAAGGGTAGCTCAGTGGCGACAGTGACAAATCAGCCCAGCCAAATCACGAAGCGTCAACAATTTAGATTCTCCCCCGCTTGGAACGCAGCGGTCTCGAGCTGGGAGTGGCCCGGCAGGGCCCAGCGCGGCCTAGTAGCATGTCGGGCCCCGAGCCGGACCTGGAATCCAGGGGAGCTCCGAAGGCGCGGACGAGCCCAGAGCGGCGCTGAGAGCGCGGCGTGGAGTGGGCCACGGAGCCTCAAAGGGCCCGGGGATGGGTCGCGGCAGCCTGGAGGGCCAGCGGTCAGCCCAGGCGGGTCGGGGCCAGAGGAGCGCGCGCGCGAGGGACCTTCTCTCCCCGACCCTGCCGCTGCTGGGCCTCGTGCTGCTGCTGCTGCTGCTGCTGCTGCCCCTGTTGGTTATTGTTGTTTTCTTGTTTGTTCCTCCCCGTCCCTCGCCCCAGGGGGCCTTGGGAGCCCTGTGGGGGCCCCCTGGCGAGCTCCCCGAGAGCCCTCTGAGCCGCACGCGGGAGCACCCTCTGTGGCGGGCAGGGGTCTTCGCCTTCTGCGCGAGGTGTCGAGGTCGCTGCTCGGGTCCGAGGCTCCGCTCGCACGGTGGGAAAATTGCACAGTCGAGGTCAGCCGAGCACAAGGAGGCGAAGGAGGAGGCGGAGGAGGAGCAAGAGGAGGAGGAGTGGGAGGGACGCTACGGGTGCGAGCGTGTGCCCTCGAGCCAGTTGTCCAGAGAAACATGCTGCGAGGCCACCACCCGGCTACGAAGGAGGAGAGGATTTGTGATGGTAGGACTCCCGCGGCAGCTTCTGCAGGGCGACGTTGAGGTTGATGTGTTCCTTGATTTGGCGTAATGCGGGCGCCAAGCTGGTGAGGAGTCGCCAAGACGCCGTCACCTTTGCCCAGAAAACAGCTTAGCAGCCCTGTGGTCTTAGAACTGGTGGCCCGAACATGTCGGTTGTCAAGTTGCTGAGCCACTCCGGATAATGCTATGTTGTACGTTGCCGCATTGCAAAAGTGAAAACTGAACCCTGGGCTCCTGAGACCTCATCCACGCAGCCTGGTGCCCCCCACGATGGGCTGCTGGCGGATTAGATTCTACCAGATCTCGCTTCACACGTACGCTCATCATTGCTACTGACATGACTCATGACTTTTTTCCTCGCCCACCTTTGTTGTTCCGTTATTCTTCTCCTCACCTCATGACTCAGATGTTTGTGATTGTCTCGTCCTTCTCTTCTCATGGCCAAGTCTCGCTTCTCCTCCTCCTCGCCCGACCCCCTCTTCCGGCGGGGGGGCGGGCGCAGAGCAGGACGCGCTGTCTTGCATGAACACCAAGAGGTGTGTGAACACGGCGGCCGCTTGCGAGCAGCGCGCGTACGCCATGATGAAGAAGGCCCGGGGCCAGTCGCGGCTGAGCTGCGTTGGCCTCTGGGCCTCCCAGATGAGGTCGGAGTAGGTGGGGTCGGAGGATCGCGTCGCATCGCCGAGGTATCGGCGATGCGGCTCGATGTGTAGCCGGATTTGTTCCACGCTGGCGTCGCCGATGCATCGCCGAGGTCGCCGATACATTGGCAATGCAGTGCAATTCTCCGACCCCATCTACTCGGACCCCATCTAGGAGGCCTCTATGGTCTGCGCCGCTTGTCAACCGCCCTCGTCAGCGTTTCAACTCACTGGTCGTCTGCTCTTTCTCTCTCTCTCTCTCTCCCTCTCTCTCTCTCTTTTTTCTGTCTTGCCACTAAAACTGCCGCCCTGCCCGTTCTGCATCGAGGTGGCTCCAGGATCGCCCTAGCAGCCTAGCATTGGACCAGATCCAGAATGGCTCTACAGTGATTATATTATATTATACCATGGCGCTACCATGGCTTCTAGCCGCCGCCAGATGATTAAAGGAGTTCTAGGATGAGAGCGGAAATTTCGGCGCACATTGCAGTACTGGGTGGGCGTCCCCTTTTCCCGCCGGAGCTGTTTTCTTGATCGTTCCCCCCGCTTGTGTGTTATGCGAGCTTGGCCCTCAAAAACGGTAGATATTCGGGTAAGTTTCGCCGCCCGATGTTTCTTGGGAGTCAGAAGCGATTGATTTGGGATGTTTGCTCTGGTCGCTATTTTGTTGGCAATGTCAGTGATTGAATTTCAGTGTTTCCCCCGCCGCCCGGTTCTGTTCCTACTGGGGGTCCTTACAATGAGCTCGGCTGATGGCCCAGGGGCTAGCCAGGAGAGTTGAGGCCCGCTGTTTATCAATATTGTACCCTCCCGGGTTCCCCTTAATAGCAACAGCCACTGTCACAAGCACTCGGGACACAGCCTTCGTGATTGCACATGTACCATGTCCACCACCTCACCGCTCCATCTGTGCTCCCTCTCGCTCTCTCTGTCCACGTCCTTCCATCTCACGTTGATGTGCATGCCTTCATGCATTTAAGCATACACGTGCGCCCTCATGTGCGAAAGTACTCTGAGTGCCTCAATAGTTTGGGGGTGACAAATCGTCGGGGGGGGGGCCCTCCAGTCCTGGGGGGAGCCCTCTAGGCTGGGAGGGGGTCCTTGTAGACCGGGGGGTGGGCCCTTGTAGTCCGGGGGGGAGCCCTTGTAGTCCCGGAGGGGTCCCTTGTAGGGGGGGATCCTGAATGCGTTGATCTTCATGGGTCGGCGTGCCGCTCGACGACGACGACGACGACGACGACAACGACAGCGACGACGACGACGACGACGACGACGACGACGACGATGACGACCTGATCCTGGCCGCCTGCCATTCGACCTTCTTGGGCGCTGCCAGGCGCGCAACTGTCGCGGAAACTGGCTATTCGTAGCCCTTGTGTTGGGAGGTTGCCTGAAGTCCGGGGGGGGTCCTTGTAGTCTGGCGGGGCGTCCCTGTAGTCCGGGAGGGGGGACCTCGTAGTCGGGGGGGGGTCCCTGTAATTTGGGAGAGGGGCCCTTGTAGTCCGGGGGGCCTTGTAGTCCTTGCTCCTTTGACTTCTGCTGTGCCTAAGAAGACCGCATAGCACTCACTCTGCCTGCCCAGGGACCGTGGAGACAGCAACAGGCATTTACAAGGCGTGTATTCCCACACTCGATTGTATGTGTTTGCCCATCGTTGTAATCTCGGGAACCGCTCAACCACGTGCTGGGCAACTTCCAAGCCGAGGCTGAGACAGGAGAGCACTGCCGCTTCAATCTGGAGACCGCGGGCCTCCGCACTTCCGCACTGTAGTCCAGGGCCCCAGAACTATTGAGGTACTCAGAGTATCCACGTACGCATACGCGAGCGGACGGTATTACGCGTGTGTGTGTGTGTGTGTGGTGTGCGTGTGTTCGTATACACGCATAGGTAGCCACATGCGCGCATGTACTCATATACTCATGCTGGCACGCACGTAAGTACAACCGCGCGTGTGCGCGTAGGCGCATGTGTGTATGAACAGTTGTTACGTGGTTCACCCGTCCTCTACGTATATTCCCTTCCTCGGAGAAGGAGGGATCTCAAAAGAAGGGCCAACTCACTTGCCAGACGCTGGATACACTTTCGCGCAGGTGGAAGCAGAAGGGAAGCTTAGTTCTCGCTGTGCATCTACACGCTCGGTGCGTCGCGTGACAGGCAGGTGCAGTCCCCTGCAACGTCCTGCAGTACGACTTTGGTCGTGCTTGGCCCAGCTGGTACCCAGATCTCTGAGACATTATGTGAGACCGCCCGCTCCAGTCTCGATGTCCCTCTCACCCCAGCCCCTCCCATCCGAAATCCGTTTCCCCCTTGCTCGCCCCGATCCCCGCTCACCTCCCCTTTGCCGCCCGCCCACCCGCCAGGCCCTGGCCTCCAGCCTGGACCCGCGAGCAAGCGCCTCGCCGCTCCAGATCGAGGCGCTGCACAACGCCAAGCGGGTCGGCGAGGAGAGCCGGCCGTGCCCTCCCCCCCCTTCCCCCGGCTGCGCTTGCCGCTGGGCCTGGCGGCCCTCTCGGTGCCGCAGGCGTCGCAGGCTTCGAGGACGTCCAAGGTCACGGTGGGATGTGGCGTGCAAGTCGGGGGCAGCGTCAGGGGGGGGAAGCAGGCTCTGGGTGGGGAGGGGGCGCAACGACCCCGAAACGCCCATGTATCTCCGATAGGGGCCCCGCAGGGTTCCCCACTGCGCCAGTCACCCCCTAACGTTGGCCCTTCAGAGAGGGCTGCGGCTGCGTCACAGGATTTGGTTGACCGCCTGCAGGCAGGCTCCCGCCACGTCCTCTTCCTCCCCATCCTTCTTCTGCTACCTTTCTTCCTTCAGACCCCTCCTCGCCAGCATCCTCCTCATCAGCATCATCCTCCTCTCCCCTTCATCCCCCCTCTCATGCTGCTGCTCATCCACTGTATCCCCCACCACCCCCTCGTTATCCTCGCCCACCCACTTCCCCATCCTCCACCTCCTGTTGCCTCCCCCACCCCGCCTCTCACTTCTCGTCCACCTCAATGTTCTTCTCGTTCCCCCTCGTCCTTTCCGTTTCCCCACTTCCACCATCAACATCCCTCCTCCTCCTCCTCCTCCTCCTCCTCTTCGTCCTCCCTTCTTCCTCCTCTTCCTCTCCCTCCTCCCCATGGTTCTCCTCATCCCTCCAGCTGTTTCTCCCATCTCTCGCTCGCTCTTCCTCATCCTCCTTCTCCTCCTCCGCATTGGTCTTCTCAAGCATCCTCCCTCTTCCTCGGTCCTCTCCCTGTCTCTATTTTGTCTCTCTCTCTCTCTCTCTCTCTCTATATATATATATATATATGTTCACATACAGATATACACATAGACGTATGGTGTACATCTCTCTCTCTCTCTCGCTCTCCGTCTCTCTCTCTCTCTCTCTCTCTCTCTTCCGCTCTCTCTTCTTCTCTCTCTCTCTCTCTTCTGCTCTTGCTGTTCCTCCTCCATGGAGCGCCGCATATTCGCCAGCATGTGACTCGTCAGGGATACCAGCGCTAGAACCGCGGCCACCGTCTCTCTCTCTCTCTCTATCTCTCCCGTCTCTTGGGCTTCGAGCGCATTTACCGCAGCGTGCCCCGCATCGGCGGGCAGTTGCGGACGGTGGCACCGGTCAACGGCGCATTCCCGAAAGACACCCAGCTTTGCCGTCGTGCGAGGCGGAACGGAGAAGGAGTGGAGGAGAGCAGAAGGGGTGACCAGACGGGGCTAGGACCAGGATAAATCCTTTCCAAAGCATTCTGGAACGCTTTCAGAGCGTTTGGGAACGCTCTGAGAAGGCCGCGGCGCCCGAGACATCCTCCAGAGCCGCCGGATTTCAGAGATTCTCGATTTGTCGTGACCAGATGTTATCCTCGTCTTGGCTTCGTCTTACGTCGTGTGAGGGGGGACGGAGAAGGAGTGGAGCAGGGCGGAAGGGGGGGGCGGAGGGAAGGCAACACTGGATTATGACAGGATCTGCGCACGCGACGAGGTCGCCAGCGAGCGTGGCCCCGGGGCACCTTCTTGTCGACGAGGCGAGTGCGAGGGAGAAGGAGGGGGGGGGGGCCGGAGGGAAGGCAACATTGGAGTACGAAAGGATCTGCGCACGCGACGAGGTCGCCTGCGAGCATGGCCACAGGGGCGTCTCTTTTTGTCGACGAGGCGAGGCGCACGCCCGAGAGGCAGGCGCTGCGAGCGGGCGGGGAAGGGGGGAGCGACGGGGACAAGTACACGCTGGTCGTTGAGAGCAGGTGCGTGTTGGATCCTCTGATTCCAGTCCACGTCCGTAAGAATCATGGTTGGATGTTTCCGGGAACTGGGAGGCTTTGGAGGAGGATCTCACGAAGTACAAGATCATGTGAGGGCTGCGGCCCCTGTGCTCCACCCCTCGCGGGTCGGCTTCGGCCAGACACAGCGCGCTTCCGTGGGCGCCTTCCTACCCAGAGATGCAGCGTAATGAAAAAAAGTCAGGCGTTTCTTTGTTCAACTTTCGGCCTCGAGGGGCCCTAGCTGGGCCCCAGGATTGTAAAATAATGACTGATGATGAAAAACCGGTCCTGGGGAACGGGTCGAGATTTCTGGGGACCCGTATTGATGAACAGATCACGACATCGGATCTCTAGGTACTCCAATGATCGAGCGGTTTCACTTGATCTTTCCTCTTAAGTGGGCGGGCGGAAGCCCAATCTCTTTTCACTTCCTTCCTACTCCATGCTTCTACCCACTTCTGCCGACCGACGGGCAATTCTGGAGGAAAGGGGTCTGAGAGTTTCTTCGCCGTTTGCAGGCTCCCAGGGCCTCTTTTCCAGGCAAGCTCAGGATGGGGACGCACCGCTCCAGAGCGTTCCGGATCGCTCTCAGTGAGTTTCGGAGCGCTTTGGAACGGCCGTGGCGCATGATACATCCATCCTTCAGACCCGCCTGCTCGCTGAGATTCCCGATTCATCATCATCATCATCATCATCATCATCATCATCATCATCATCAGCAGCAGCAGCAGCAGCAGCAGCAGCATCGTCATCATCATCGTCACTATCATCTTCATGATCATCATCATCATCATCATCATCATCATCATCATCATCATCATCATCATCATCATCATCACGATCGTCATCGTCATATCAGCGTCATCATCATCATCAGCATCAGCATCAGCGTCAGCATCATCCTCATCATCATCATCATCATCATCATCAGCATCATCATCCGGGCTTGTCCTCACTTTTTGTTCATCTTACCGTCTAGGCCCTGGGTTACGCCAAACAACGATTTGGACTATTTGGTTGTCCTTCAAAAAGATTTGTGGGTACAGGGCCGGCTTTCACTGACCAGGACCCTTGAAGGGAGGAAGGGACAGGGAAATGATGAAAAGGTGTAACTGGAACAGCTCCTCAGCTTCTGCTTGTCGCCTGTGCCTACCGAGGACTGTGATCTTAGGTCAGGTCGTCTGCTTTCCGTGGCCGTCTCGACCCAGGCCCCCTTGTTCCATTGCGGCGCGCGACGACAGGATTTTGCCACAATCGTTGGCCCATAAATCCGTAGGTAGACTGCGCGAAAGCAGCGCTGAAAGCATGGCCCCTTCGGATGCCACGGTGACCTGCCAGTATGGCACGGGCAGGCGCGGCGGAGAACCGGACGAGAAGGGGCGCAGTGCGTTGTGGCAGCCCCGAGGCTTGGCTCTGACCGCGGACGGCTCTTTGTTAGTGGCAGACTATTCGGCGCATTGCGTCTTCCGCTTCGAGGCTTCTGGCGATCTAAAGGGGACGGTCGCGGCGGGCGAGGAGGGCAAAATGTTGCCTACGGTCGATCCGCTGAAGGACATCGACAGGCCAACCCGTGCCCCCGAGGGCGATGGCTACTTGCTGAAGCGACCGGTCGACGTGTGCGCCAACGGCGAGGGGGGCGTCTTCGTGCTCGATGCGGAGAGCTGCTTGGTTCAGCGCTTTGGCGCGACCGGCGGCGCTGCCGATGTCGTGGTGCCGCCTCCTGGGGCGCCTCCGCAGAAGTCGCTGCATACTCCGGAGGCCCACGAAGCGAGCAGCAGCACATACATGAATGACCCATCACCCCCACAGCTGCGTAGAGGAGGAGGAAGGGCGGGAGGAGGAGGAAATGGAGGAGGAAGGGGGTACTTCTAGGGATGATCAGCCGGACCAAGGGATCCCGCAGAAAATGAGACCTACTCCTCCGCCTAAGCAAATGTAAGCTCAAGTATGACACGACGGAGCTTGAACGGCACGACCTGAATGATCTAGACCAGTGTAAGCCGAGCTATGCTACTCCAACTGACGCTGGGCCGTGCCACGCCTAGGTGAGCTTAGCAGAGCTATGCTGCTGCGTTCGTGCCAGTCAAGTAGGGTCCATGAGCATATTAGAGAAGGTTGGATTCAGCGAGCTTGGCCTGAGCACAGCCGTCCTATAATAGGATTCATGATGCGATGGTGCACTCAAATCGATGTGAAGGTGATGCAAAGCAGAGCGTGGAGCAGATCGGGTTCGGAAGCTCGCTGATCCTCGAGTCCGTCCATGGCCCTCCCATTTTAGGTGTTCCTCGTGCACCCATGCGCTTGTTTGGGCGAAAAGGGCTTCGTTCCTAATCTCGCATTCCTTTTGGTAGTAGTTTGAATGTTTCCAGTTCCAGAGCGGAGGTCTGTATTCCAGGGTCTGGTACGGCAACGTGCATGGAGGTACGGTATGCAAAATGCGCCGCGCCGGTGATCATTAAGCATAATTTGAAGGAGTGCGACTTGAGAGTTCATGTCGTCCTGACCCCTGGCGCGCGAGGGAATGGGCCCGCCAACCGCCCCCCCCGGTCCGTTTCAGGGACATCCAGGAAATCTGGTGACGCATTCAAAACAGGCGCCCTCGCCTGGAACATCCTCAAAAAACCGGCCAGCCCCCCGAGCCTCCCCGAGGAGGCTTTCAGAGGTCCCCCTGTTCTATTTCTGGGAGGTCCGGGAAATCTGGTGACGCATTCAAAACCGGCGCCCTCGCTTGGAACATCCTCAAAAAACCGGCCCCCCGAGCCTCCCCGAGGAGGCTTTCAGAGGTCCCTCTGTTCTATTTCCGGGAGGTCCGAGAAATCCGGCGACGAATTCCAAACCAACGCCCTCGCGTGGGACGTCCTCAGAAAACCGGACCCCAGAGCCTCCCTGCGGAGGCCCGGGAAATCTGGCGACGAATTCCAAACCGGCGCCCTCGCGCCCCCCGAGCTATTCCTCTGACGCGCGCCAGGGCGCGCTGGGGCGCAGCGAGCGTGTCCCTGTCTGGGGCTCGCTCGAGACATCCCCCCAAAGTCGATCCAAGGCGCGCGAGAAAGTCAGGCTTCACAGCGACCCCATGGACCAGTTCCGCGGATCTGCTGGCGCGCCCGCACTGGGTGTGTCCCAGTCCTGCGCGCGAGAATGTCAGGCCTCACCGCGCCCCCAGGGATCATTTTTGGGGATCTGCTGGCGCGCGCCACGGCGCGCCGGGCGCGTCTCAGTCGCGCGAGAAAGTCAGGCCCCACCGCGCCCCCATGGACCATTTCTGGGGATCTGCTGGCGCGCGCCTGGGCGCGTGTCCCAGTCCGGGGCTCTCGCTCGAGACATCCTCGAAAAAGGTGACCCGGGCGTGTCCCAATCTGGGGCTCCCGCTCGAGACACCCTCGCAAAGTCGCCAAATCGACCCCCGAGGGAGGCCCCCGAAGACGATGACGAGGATGAGAACGGAAGAAATCGTAGGAGGACGGAAGAGGGGAGGAGCACGAAGAGGGAAGGAGGAGGAGGAGGAGGGCGAAGAGGAGGAGGAGGAGGAGGTCCAGCATAAACTCAAGACTCATCAAGCATGTTGGAATATGTCCTCGCTCCAAGCTTCCTCTTCATAGGCCCCTACAAGGGTTCATTTCCACGGAGGGAAGCCCCGTTGGGAGACAAACGTTTGAAGGTCGTGAAACGTGCCAAAACACCATTCTCAGGACTCCCACGGCACAAGTCAACCTGGCTGTGCGAGAACACCATTCCTGAGACTTCAACATCGCGAAGCAACGTAACTGTTGGTGATCGTTTTTTGATTCATTGTTTTGCCGATCGGCGCGAGCATCGGAGCCGGCCCTCGCACCGCTCCGTTTCGCCCCCCCCCCGTGGAGTAGATCTTGGCTGTTTTGGGCGCCTGTTTCGAGCAGGTGGGGCCTCCCCCACAGGACGCACTGCTGCAAACAGTGGCATTAAGCAGAGTTCTGGAGCCAGACCCCCCCTCCCTCCCCCACCCCTTCCGCCCAATGTCGAAACGCCGAATAAAAAAGCGCTCACTTGCGCCCTGCCAATTCTGAATCGCTCCAAAACGCCATTTTGTGTACGTCAGCAGTGAGAACCAGTGAAATGCTTGTATGTTTCAAAACGAATGCGCGCGGCGCTGAGGCGAGAACCACATTTTTTAAACGAGCCGTCCTCAATCCGTGAAACTCCGCAACTGTTTAAAACGAATGTGCGCGGCGCTAAGACGAGAACACACTTTGAAAAGGAACCACCCTCCATCTGTGAAGCTGTTGCACATGTTTAAAACGAGTGTGCGCGGCTCTAATGCGAGGGCCACCCTTTTACAACCACCCCCCATCCATCTGTGAAACATTTGCCAGTTGTTAAGCCGCAGGCTCATACATGCTAAGGAAGCCTCAGCCGAATCGCCCGGCCCGCCCTTCGGACTGGCTTCGTGGTGCGACAGGGACGACTCAGTTATTCATGAGGAAGAGAAGTGGAGGAGGAGGAGGAGGAGGAAGTGGAGGAGGGGGAGGAAGTTCAGGAGGAGGAGGAGAGTTGGAGGAGGTGGAAGCGGAGGCGGAGGAGGAACGACCTCCAGGGACATCAAAATATGTTCTGGGAGGATGTAGAGGAGAAGGTCGAGGTTTCCAGCATGGGAGCGAGAGGGGCTGGATGCCACCGTTTTCCGCTCATTTTCCTTTCGCCCATATGCAGTGACACGCCCCTTCTTCTATATACAGAAATTCCCGATCATTCGCAGAGCGGCTGGCTAGTACGATCCCTAACCGTATTAGCACAATTAATTCGTGGCCTAATTTAGACCCCTGGATTTTGCAGATATCCCTATTCATACGGGTGGTTTCTTTTTATACATATGCAAATCGACCCCCTATCCCTAATGTTCTTGGTTCTCCCAGCTGAGGTCCCCTCCGAAAGGGTTAGGGGTACTTCTGTTTCTTATCAGGTGAGGTACGGCTGGAAAAGACGCACGGAGACTCGCCCCTAGGTCGTGGCGCGGCGCTCGGGGCAGGGCTGCCCTCGGCCTTCTCGTCGTGCACCCCCTGGGGTTGACATCTCGCAGCGATTCGGATACAGTCAGGAACCCGAGTAAGGGGAGCCCGTAAGTTCAGCCACGCGCAGAGGGGGGAGGGGGGAGGGGGGAGGGCTTCTTAGAAGCAGGAAGGCGCGGGCCTTATCTATAGATGTAGGGCCGGCGCCGTCTAAGAAGCAGCCTCCTTCTAAGAAGTGTTCCCCCCTCCCCATACGCCCTTAGTGCGCGCCGCCAAGTAATGGGAGCCCATAAGTGATTTTCCCCCGAAGGTTTAAACATGAACTGGAATCACTAAACCAGGTCAGCCGCAGCGTGTTTTTTCTAGGTCTTGGAATGGGACGGGGGGCGGCCTCCCGAGGTACACATCACTAAACTAGGTCCCACTAAACCAAGTCCCGTCAACGCCCGAATGGTGATCGACAGGGAACCCTCCGTCAATCGGTCTCCTGTAGCGCGCTCGCGCGCTCACCGGGGCCCGTTTCGATTCGGTCGCTCCGACTTACTTTCTAGTTCGCTGGGCTCGACCCAAGTCGCATTCGATTATCCAGCGATCCGATGCGGCTCGATGCTTGCATGGCTATGCAGTGCAACTTGGCGCAGCCGATCCGACTCACTCTCGATTCAGTGCCGATTCGGTCCGATCCAGCCTGGGGCCTGTTGGATCCCCATCCAAGCAAGCGTTCTACCCTGGGAAACCCTATCAAGTCGGCCCCAGCAGAGGAGGGGAAAAGTGAAAACACGTTTGGGAAACACTTGGTCACACGCACGTGTCCCAAAACCGGTTGCGCGTCCCAGACACGAAGAGGGATTTGCGTGGGCGGAGGCCCCCTCCGACAAGGGCTTTGCTGTTTGACGGAGTAGGCTGACGGCCGAAGCCTCGTTCTTCGTGGATGGTGTCAGCAAGAGGAGAAGCAGTGCAGCAGGAGGGAGAGGATGATGATGATGATGATGATGATGAGGAGGAGGAGGAGGAGGCGGACGAGGAGGCGGGCAGGGACCACCCACGATCCCAGAGAGCCATCTTTAAAGCCCATCTCATCTTTTGAGCTTTAGAGAACCATCCTTAGAGCCAGGGATTTCTGCAACGCATTCGATCCACGTAGAACCTTCCCCCCTGGAGGACTCAGAGGAGGGACCGATGGGACTTGGTAAGTTTGCTGCCGCCTTGAATCCTGACCCCAGGAAGTCCCTCGAGGCCTCCACCAGCCTCCATAGAGAGGCCCGACGAGGGCCAACACATCCGAGCAGCCCTTCCCCCCAGAGGCGGTGAAGAACCCGAGAGCGCTGACGCTCGCTCCAGACGGCGGGCTGGCGGCGACCTCAGGAGGGCCCTTTGCCCGCGCGGACCCGGGCTCGGCCACACCGCTGATCTGCGTGAAATCTGTGGGGGGACCACCCCTGCCCCTGATCGAGTGTGACCAAATGTAGGCCTCCCAGATGGGGTCCGAGTGAACGGGGTCGGGGGATCGCGCCGCATCGGCGACGCATGGGCGATGCGGCTCGATGTGGGGCCCGATTTTGGCTTCACGTCGACGTCGCCGATGCATCGCTGACGTCGCCGTTGCATCTCCAATGCATCGGCACTGCATCGCCGATGCAGTGCGATCCTCCGACCCATCTACTCCGACCCATCCAGGAGGCCCCTACCACAGGTGTCCATGGCTCGAGAGTCTCCAATGATTTCCAGGGATGCCATTGCGGCCTCCAGAGCATCCCTCACGAGGCCCAGAGGGCCCCACAGGGGCTCCAAGGTGGAGCCAAAAGCTGGAGGGGGGGGGGCAGGACCACTTCTGGCAACACCCGACCTGACGGCGGCTGTGCACTACTCGGCTCTTGGACGGCCCCTGTTGGCATCGGACGGTCGCTACCCCGAGGAGCAGACGACGGCATGAGCACGACCTTTTGGAGCTCCTGGCGGATTTTCGGGGTCGGCGATGGCCCTTCCCCCTGGCAGCGCCTCTGGCGCCGACCCTTGGCGCGCTCCGCGCGCCAGAGGAAAGTGGTCCAGCGCCGGCACATGGGGTCCAAGGATCCATGCATGTTTTCCGCTTTTGCCCCAGCTTTTGCATGGCCCCAGGTAGCCTCGGACAGCCGCTGCCCCCGGCGATGGCCTTGGATAGCTTCGGGGGTGGATGAGGGTGACCTCGGGTTGCCTCGGTTGTGGCGAGGCTTGCCTCGTCCTGGAAGGGGGGGGGGCCTAAGGGCAGCTCAGGGGGGAACGCATCGACCCCCACTCGCCCAGTCATCCCCGATGGGGGCGCGATGGCCCACTCGATGCCTACCCCCGCATCGACCCCCACTCGCCCAGTCATCCCCGATGGGGGCGCGATGGCCCACTCGATGCCTACCCCCCTGAGCCGGTCCTCTCCTGTCGCTGCCCCCCTGGAGACGAGGAGCGGGAGCGGGGGGCGCAGAGGCCGCCCACAAGATGATGCTCGACATGGCGCGGCTTCAGCCGAATCTGCCGATCGGGGTCATCGGGTCGGAGCGGTGGATCGGCCCATCGACCTGCAGGGTAATCTGCACTCTCTGACGGGCTGGGCCAGCCAGACTGAGGGCCAGGATCCCCAGACACCCGGTGCCGTTTTCTATTGGCGAGGCGGGCCCCAGAGCTCTCGACCCCAGCCTCGAGGCCGTGTCCTGTTCACCACGGATCGGGCTTTTCGTTTGGGCGAGTGGGCCCCATGACGGTCCGTCTGACGCCGACATACGTTGTAGAAAGCTCCCGTGCTTCCCCCCTTCAACAGCTGGACAGTTCGGGGTGCCGTTGTGGTAGGAGATAGTTCCGAGGGGCTCACGCAACGCGACATCCTCGACACACATGAAGCGGTCCAGGCTATTTCGCCTGAGACATCCTCGCAATTCTGGGCTCCGAGATGGCCAGGATTGGGCGTTCGCCTGAAACATCCGCGACCCGAGGCATCCTCAAAATTCTGAGCCTCGAGATGCCACGCGAGAGGTGTCCCACCTGTTTCGCTTAGAAAATCCTCCCATCTCTGTGCTTTGAGATGCCGCGCGAGAGGCGGTCCAGCGCGTTTCGCTTGAAACATTCTCGCATCTCTGGGGTCCTAGATGTCGCGCCAGAGGTGTTCTGACGCGTTTCGCCCGAGACATCCTCCAAACACTGGTCTCCGAGATGTCTCGGGAGAGGTGATCGGGCGCGTTTCGCCTGAGGCATCCTGGCATTTCTGGGTTCCGAGATACCGGTCGCGAGGTGGTTCGGCGCGTTTCACTTAAGACATTTTCGCAAGTCTGAGCTCCGAGATGCCGCACGAGAGATGGTCAAGCCCGTTCCGCCTGAGACATCTTGGCAGTTCTAAGCTCCGAGATGCAGCGCGCGAGGTGGTCTGGCGCGTTTCGCCTCCTGAGACATCCTCGCAGCTCTGGGCTTCGAGATACCGCGCGAGAGGTTGTCCGGCCCGTTTCGCCTGAGACATCTTCGCAACTTTGTGCTCTGATAAATTGTGCGCACGATGGTCTGGCCCGTTCTGCTTGAGATATCATCACAATTCGGGGCTTCGAGATGCTGCGCGCGAGGAGGTCTGGCCCGTTTCACCTGAGACATCCTCGAAATTCTCGGTTCCGAGACGGAGGGGGAGGGAGAAGGGGTCACATCAAAACGAATTTTTTAAATTTCGTGTCTGCTGTCGAATTGTGGTACGTCGGCTCAGGCACGGTGTTTGGCGAGCTGGATGATTCCTCGCTCTTCCCTCGGGTCCAGGTCTTCCGAGCCACCAAGAGGTGACCCTCCAGTAGATTAGTCCTGGGCGTCAGGGGAGGGAGGCGCTGTACAAATCACGGGTTAGGGCCAGCAAGTTTACACCTTGTCACCGACCCAAAAGGCACAGGAAAAACTAGTCGGCGGGCGTCTGTGGCACAGTCAACCCGCATAGCAACGATGAGAGACGTTCCAAGATTACCCTTGCATCTCGCCCCATACGGCCCATCCTTAGCCGCCTTCGCTGGCCGCGCCCCGCTCGCAGAGTGTCGGCATGGCCCTCCAAGGTCCTTGCATCCTTGCCGTGCGTCCTTGCTGTACGGGTTGACCGGCACGCTTTTCGTGGCGTGTCCTCCTCCCCAGCCTCCGCTCGGGAGCAGCCCGCGCCCAGGGGAGGAGCTCCCTAAGGTCGTGACCGACACCTGGAGCCACAGGGTGCCCCGCGGCGGGCCAAGGAGAGCGGCACCACGGCCGTCACTCGCCACCCACCAAACCACCTCAACCCAATCCGAAGGCCTCGATTTGCCCTCCATTTCCAGTGTGGGGGGGGTCCGGGAGCACGGGAAAAAACACGTGTGGAACCCGTGCCCCCTCCCCAACCCGAAGCTCTGGTCTTCGGGCCAGGTTGGGGTGGTCTGCCCGCGCTGCCACACCAACTTTCGGCGGAGAGGGCGAGGCCGAGGCGACGGGGACCCGATCGCCCGTCGCGTCCTTCCCCTGCGACGGAGCCAGACACACATTGGTTGTTGAAAGTTGGTATTTTCTGATTGCTGGATGCCCAGATCCACTTGAGTCAAGAATTGAGTGATTTCCCGTCTTCCTTTCTCTTCGGGGGGCGGGCGGAGGCCCAGTCTACTGTCCTGTTTGATGTGTCTACCCACTTCTTCCGAACGACGGGTACAGTCGAGCATCTGACTAAGGCACCTCCTTGAAAAGTTGGGCCAGCGTTTGTTAAGCAGCTTGCCAGAACGCTGGCCCAGTTCACTGAGCACGTTCGCCCCTTCCGGCGTGAACAACTTAAATGAGCCCAGGCTTGGTTCAAGGTACCTCCGGGAAGCTGGCCCAGATTTCTGACATGCTGGTTTTCTTGGTCATGTTTTCGGCTGCAAGGGAGCCCCCCGCTGAACTCTCCTTGGGGCAGGTCGGCGGTGGGCTCTTCCACGTGGTTGAACTGCAGGAGCTCTCGCCCGGCGGCTATACGCCGGGTCGGCTGCTCCCCCTCGGCGGAGGCTCAGTCCACACGGAGTGAGGCCATACGGAGTGCTCGCTCTCCGTCTGGATGGAGGAGGAGGAGGAGGAGGAGGAGGAGGAGGAGGAGGAGGGGGAGGAGGAGGAGGAGGGGGGGAGGAGGAGGAGGAGGGAGGGAGGGAGGAGGAGGAGGAGGAGGAGGGGGTGGAGGAGGATGGGGAGGAGGAGGAGGAGGAGGAGGGGGAGGAGGAGGAGGAGGAGGAGGAGGAGGAGGAGGAGGAGGAGGAGGAGGAGGAGGAGGAGGAGGATCCCCCCCTCGCCATCCCAGTAGAGATCCCCTCGGAGATCGCATCTTAGAGAGTCTCGAGGTATCCTCACCCGATTTTATCATTGTATCTTCGTCTTGGGCCAGGACGAGGGTCTACGAAGCCAGGACTCCTGGCTTTGTACACCCTTCTTCTTAGAAGGACGAGGGCATAGGAAGTCAGGTCTCCTAAGAATTATCCCAGTGCGACCCTACCTAGGAGTTGGAGCCCCTAGGAAAGCAGCAGTAGTAGTAACAGAAAAGCTAAGCTAAAGTTAAGATAAAGCTAAGCTAGAGCTAAGCTAAATATATGTTAAAACTGAGATAAAGGAGCCCGTTCGGAAAACCTCCCGGCGATCACGAGCGTGATCGGGCCCGGCCCCCCCCCCCCCCTTCTCACGTCACGGCGGTCGTCCGGTGGCGACCGCGGGCGTCCTGTGGCGCTCTCAGGCTACTGTGGTGTTTAGAGGCACATTGTTGTGCTCTCAGGGACGTTGTGGTATTTGCGAAGGGAAGCGGTTGCGTGCGTGCCGCGTGGTGCTCTCCCGATACCATGCCATACCGATGCCAAGCCGTTGCCAAGAGACTTTTTTGTAGCACGCACATTCCTGACATATGCCTTTCGGCACACCCATTCCGCTCCCGCCTGGGTCTAGGAGGAGGAGGAGGAGGAGGAGGAGGAGGAGGAGGAGCAGGACGACGACGACGACGAGGAGGACGAGGAGGACGAGGAAGGGGAGCCTGGAACGCAACGATGACAGTTTATTTGTACCCGGTATCGATTCATTGAGTTTCTGACCTCAGGGCGCCCTTGGGCCCTCCGGGGGCTCGGAAAGGAACGATAGAAGTTTATTTGTATCCGGTATCGATTCGTGGATTTTGTGGCCTCCAGGCGCCCTGGGCCCCACCTGGGGCCTCCCTGGGGACTGTAAAGGAAAGATTGTTATTACATGTTATTACTATTATAAGTAGTCGTAGTAGTAGTAGTAGTAGTAGTAGTAGTAGTAGTAGTAGTAGTAGTAGTAGTAGTAGTAGTAGTAGTAGTAGTAGTAGTAGTAGTAGTAGTAGTAGTAGTAGTAGTAGTAGTAGTAGTAGTAGTAGTAGTAGTAGTAGTAGTAGTAGTAGTAGTAGTAGTAGTAGTAGTAGTAGTAGTAGTAGTAGTAGTAGTAGTAGTAGTAGTAGTAGTAGTAGTAGTAGTAGTAGTAGTAGTAGTAGTAGTAGTAGTAGTAGTAGTAGTAGTAGTAGTAGTAGTAGTAGTAGTAGTAGTAGTAGTAGTAGTAGTAGTAGTAGTAGTAGTAGTAGTAGTAGTAGTAGTAGTAGTAGTAGTAGTAGTAGTAGTAGTAGTAGTAGTAGTAGTAGTAGTAGTAGTAGTAGTAGTAGTAGTAGTAGTAGTAGTAGTAGTAGCAGTAGCAGTAGCAGTAGTAGTAGTAGTAGTAGCTAGTAGTAGTAGTAGTAGTAGTAGTAGTAGTAGTAGTAGTGGTAGTCGTTGTCGTTGTCGTTGTCGTCGTCGTAGTAATAGTAGTACTTGCAATAGTCGTAGTAGTCGTAGTACTCGTAGTCGTAGTCGTAGTCGTAAGAGTAGTAGTGGTGGTGGTGGTGGTAGTGGTGGTAGTAGTAGTAGTAGTAGTAGTAGTGGTAGTAGTAGTAGTAGTAGTAGTAGTAGTAGTAGTAGTAGTAGTAGTAGTAGTAGTAGTAGTAGTAATAGTAATAGTAGTATGTTGCGGCACCCCAGGCGCACCCCCGCCGTGACGTGATCGGCGGGGCCCCCCCCCCCCCCCCCATCACGCCCGTGACCGGCCCGAAAAAGCGAACGGGCTCAAGCTAACTTAAAGCTAAGCTAAAGCTAAGCTAAAGCTAAGCTAAATCTAAGATAAAGCTAAGCTAAAGCTAAGCTACAGCTAAGCTAACACTAAGCTAACGCTAAGCTAGAGCTAAGCTAAAGCTAAGCTAGAGCTAAGCTGAAGCTAAGCTAAAGCTAAGCTGAAGCTAAGCTAAAGCTAAGTTGAAGCTAAGCTAGAGCTAAGCTAAAGCTAAGCTGAAGCTAAGCTGACGCTAAGCTAGAGCTAAGCTAAAGCTAAGCTGAAGCTAAGCTAGAGCTAAGCTAAAGCTAAGCTAAAGCTAAGCTAAAGCTAAGCTAGAGCTAAGCTAATGCTAAGCTAGAGCTAAGCTAGAGCTAAGCTAGAGCTAAGCTGAAGCTAAGCTAACGCTAAGCTAGAGCTAAGCTAAAGCTAAGTTAAAGCTAAGCTGAAGCTAAGCTGAAGCTAAGCTAGAGCTAAGCTAAAGCTAAGCTAGAGCTAAGCTGAAGCTAAGCTGAAGCTAAGCTAGAGCTAAGCTAGAGCTAAGCTGAAGCTAAGCTAAAGCTAAGCTAAAGCTAAGCTGAAGCTAAGCTAAAGCTAAGCTAACGCTAAGCTAAAGCTAAGCTAAAGCTAAGCTAAAGCTAAGCTACGCTGGGTGAACCCAGGGGGCGCGACTGGGGGAACCGCGGGGCGGGGACCGGGGGAACCGCCCGGGGCGCTTTCCATTGCCCGGCCCCTTTAAGCTAAGAGAGTAAGAACCCTTCTAGGCAGAGCCTAGGTAGGGAAAAAGGGTCATACGAAGCCAGGACTCCCTTGCTTCGTATGCCACTTCTTTTGAGAATCGGCGGCGAGCGACGGGGGGGAGTGAGAAGGAGAAGGGCTTCTCAGAAGGCGGCGGGACTTTTCAGACGCCCCCGCGCCTTCTGAGAAGGTTTCAGTGTCTTCGGGGAAGGCTTAGAAAACTTTTCAGGAGGCCTGGGGGCTTCCCAGCCTTCTGAGAAGGCCCGCACCTCCCCACTTCCCCCCCAGGCTCGCCGCCGAGAGAAGGCCGACCCCCTCCTGCCACCCTCCGGGGATGAGCGCCGCCGGCTCCTGCGGCCCGCGCCCCCCTGCTGTTTCCGGGGCCCGCGCCCCGCCTGCCGCGGAGGCCAGGGCCCCCCAGAAGGGTTTTTTTTGTTGCGTGGAGCGCTGCCGTGCGCCCGCCCCGGGGCTCTCTCGCGGCACGGCCCCGGGGCGGGCCCGCCCCGAGGACGGGCCCGAGGTCATCGCCGACACCCTTAGTCCTCTCAGCTGGGGTCCGAGTAGATGGGGTCCGAGGATCGCGCCGCATCGCCGATGCATCGACGATGCGGCTCGATGCGGAGCCCGGTGTTCTCCACGCTGACGGTGCCGATGCACCGCCGACGTCGCCAACGCATCGGCGATGCATCGGCGATGGATCGCCGATGCATCGGCGATGCGGCGCGATCCTCTGACCCCATCTACTCGGACCACAGTTGGGAGGCCTCTGGACACGGCTGGGCGCATCCCCGACCGCGCTCGTGGGCAGAGACACAGTGCCCACGATCGCAGGCGGTTTTTTCCCCTCCAGCCGGCACGGCTGGGCTCGGAGGACGCGTAATGGGGGGGGCGACAAACAGGAGGGCAGCGAGGGTTGCAAAAACGGAGCCCTTTTGGGGCCCCGAAAGGTGCCCTTCAGGGCCCCGGAGGGGGCCTCGAGGGCCCAGGCACTTCTCTTCCTTCAGTATGTCGCGCCCAATGGGCGCATTTCCGACCGCGCTCGTGGGAAGAGGCACAATGTTCACGATCGCAGGCGATTTTTCTCTCCCCCGCGACTTTTCGATGAAAAATGGGGCCGCTTAGAAAAGGAGGGAAACCCTGGGATGCACCCCCAAGGGGCTATTCGGACGCACCCCTATTAGGGATGGACGCCCCCCCTCGTATACCCCAGGGTTGGGCCTCAAATTTCTGGTCCATTCGGCAACTCCACGAAGCTTGGGATAGGGGTCGACATGTCCCTTGTTATCCCCGACCGCGCTCGCAAGAAGAGGCATGATGCCCACGACAGAGATCAGGGCTCATTTCGACTCCTCCGATCCGAGTCGGCTTCGGATTCCGATTCGGATTCCGATTTCCGATTTCTCCGTGAGGCCAACTAATTTGCTTGCCGATTTTTCTGCCGATGCAACTTCTCCCGACTCGGCTGCCGATTTCCGCCGATCCGATTCATGTCGATGGCCGACCCGACTTATCGATTCGACTTCAGGCTCTCTTGGAGATGCACGAGGAGCGCGATGCGGTAAACAATTGATGGTCTGGATTTGATCGTGTTCGCACGCGTCCATTTTGCTCATCGTTACTTCCTGGATCATCTTCGCGAATCGGCGACTGCCCGCATGGACCATGACCAAGACGGGAGTCGACAAGATGCCGCGTGAGGGGTCTCCGAGAAACGACTTGGGGTCCTTGCCCAGCCCTAATTAGCTCGGAAAAGGCTTCTCGGGGGTCTCTTGAGGCGCACCGCCAGCTCACCCCCAAAGTGAGCTAAACGCATTCCCCCCAAAAAGGCGCCCGCCGAACACTTCCTAAAATACGCCGCCGAGCGGTGACCAAGATCGATGTCGACGTTTCTGCGTTCAGTATTGGTCATGGTCATCGTGTTCTTTCCCTCCACATGCTGAGCGCCAGCCAAGAGGGAAGACGAGGACGACGGCGAGGGAGCCGCGAACGCTAGAGCTCGCCTCTCCGTCGCACAGGTCGGCCGAGTCGCCTTGGTCAGTCAGGCCCAGCGTTCCAGAGCGTCCTGGATCGCTCTCAGAGCGTTCTGGGGGTGCTCTGGGACGGCCGCAGCGCCTGCTTCCGGACCCGCAAGCTCTCACAGATTCTCGGCTTATCCTCATCCGCATCGCAACCGATGCGGAGTGTATCCGTGACCACCGCCCCGGGGGATCGAGCTTCGGGGTTTTCGGCAGGCGGATGAGATGGATCTTTTATGTTCGGGCCCGGGGATGGCCGAACATGTCCAGATCCACCGCCTGCCGAGGTTCCCGAAGCTCGATCCCTCAGGGCGGTGGTTATGGATGAGCCCCCACCTAATCTTTTGATTGCCATCGATCGATCGAGGTTTGTTTTTTGCTCTTCCAGGATTGAGCTACCCTCGATCGATCGAGGTCCGATCGATCCCGACAATCCGAGTCGGAGGTTTATCCATAACAAACGCTTGGGGGATCGATCTTCGTGGACCTTCTCATGCGGTAGATATGGATCTACTGTCTACTCGAGCCCGTGGTGGCCAAAATATGTCCATATCCATCGCCCGCTGGGGCATCAGGACGTCGGTTCCCAGGCGATGCATATGGATAAATCACCGCCTCGCAGATAGGGCCCCCCCGAGAAGGTGCTGCACTTCGCCCCCCTGGGCGGCGCGGACGCCCACAGCGGGCCGAGGGTGCTGGCGGGCCTCGCGAACTCGTGCGGGCCCCAGGCCCGTGGGAGCCCCTCCGAGACGCTCCCGCCTCGCCGCCATCTCGCGTTTCGTGGTTCGAGGTCTTTGCTCGCAGGCGACTGTTCTCCCCTACACCCCCGACTTTTCAACGAAAAATCAAGCCGCGCAGAAAAGGAGGGAAACCATGGGATGCACCCCAAGGAGGCTATTCGGACGCACCCCTATCGAGGATGAACGCCCCCTCATCGTATGTCCTAGGGTTTGGCCCCAAATGTTTGGTCCATTCGAAAACCCCACGAAGCCTGGGATAGGGGTCGACATATCCCCTGTTATTCGAGGTCCCTGCGACCCCTGCCGAATTGCTCAAGTCGGCGGCCTCGGAGCGAACCCGTTGCTCAGAGGAGGAAAAGGTACCGATACCGATGGCCTCCCCTCGTGTGTTCCTTCTGTTGTGCCTCTCCAGGGAGGCCCTCGTCGCCATCGCCGGATTCGCTTCGAAGCTCTGGTCAGAACGCACCCTGGGAGAGGTTCGGTGAGTAGCGGCGGTATCCCAAGAGATCCGCCGATATGATTTGTTCAATCCGCGGCCCCAGAGGTCCCGACCCCTTCCCTGGGGGTGGTTCTTCGTCCTGGATCCATTTCTGATGGTCCCCGGGCCCGATAACGGCCCCGGAGGCCGAAATTCAGGAACATCCGCCGGATTGAAAATATCGTATCCTCGGATCTCTGCGTCGGTACCTTGTGGCTTCCCCCGTCGCCGTCAAGCTTGCGCTGGGCTGCAGTGGGCAGAGCCGGGCACAGTGTGCGGGATCGCGCGAAAGGCGGAGGGGAGGGCGTTGGCCTCTCCTGGATCGCTGAAGAGACGGGGGTTCATGCAAGCGGCGGTCGGTCAGAGCGCCGGATCTTGCGGGATCTTGCGCAGCCAGAGGCGCACTGACCCGCGCTTGGGCGCAGGATCCTGCAGGATCCTGCAGGGTCTTGCAGTCGCAGGCAATCTGTTCGGCGAAAAGTGAAAACGCTCAGAACAGGAGGGAAGCCCTGGGATACATCGCAAGGGGGCTATTCGGACGCACCCCTACCGAGGATGGTCGCCCCATCATCGTGTATCCCAGGGTTGGGCCCCAAATGTCTGGTCCATTCGAAAACCCCACAAAGCCTGGGATAGGAGTCGACATATCCCCTGTCATGCAGGATCTTGCAGACCCCGACTGGCCCGGGTCTAGATTTACCCGGGTCGGTAGGTCCCCGATGTTGGCGAACCTGATCCCGCGGGTCCTGTCGCTGCTTACTTGGGTTTCGGACACCCCCGCTGGGGTTCACTGGCCTGCAGACATCCTTCTACAACCCCCCTCGAAATCAGACGTAAATTTTTATTTTACCCCCTCGCCCCAACAAAAACAACGTTGATGGACGCGCGCAGCGCGGCCCGCAGGGTCAACAGAGGGCCATCTGCGTACGGCGCCTCGAGAAAATCGAGGTGGGGGAACAGGCTTGCGGTGAAGATGCCGAAAAAAGGACCCCTTTTGGGCTTAGGAAGGTGGATTTTCGGCCGTTCCTTCGAGTTGGATCGGCAACCTTTTTCGTGGCCGAGAATCACGGCGGCCAGAGAAACCCTGTTGTTTTTGAGCCAGCACCCCATGTCGCAGCACGGCGACTGTAGGTTGAGGATAGTTGCTGTAGAGCGTTCAGGAACGCTCTCAGACCGCTCCTGAGCGCTCGGACATGTCCGCGGCGCCCGACTCCTCCTCCATCATCCAGACCTGCCGGCTTTCAGAGATTCCTCCAATATCTGCCCACATCCAGATTTCTCATCATCCTGCCTTCGTCCTGCCTTTGGGCCTCCAAGAGCCCGATCTCGGGGCAAAGGGGCGTCAGGGAGCGCCCCGCGGGAGGGGCCGAGAGTCCCCGGAGGACACGCGTCTCGAAAGCCCCGGGCCGTCAAACGCGGGGGCCTCGGGCTAGGCGAGGGCTCCGGCCCCCAGCGCCGTCGACAAGAGCCGCGGCGCCGGATGATCAGTTCAGGTCTTGAGCCAGCAGGGAAGGAAGCACACGGACACCAGTAGTTGTCGATTCCCCGGAAAGTGTGGGAAAACATGGGAGGCGCGGGGGAAGACAAGCATCGAGAACGTGTGGAAAGATATTGGGAATCCTGGGATTTGTGTCTACTTATCTGTGTGTCCCTGGGCCTCTTCATTCAAGTAATTAGGGCCCAGTTGGGGCCCAGGAGGGGCTCTGGCGTCTGGGCCGCTCCCCAGGTCCAGGTCGGGGAGCCCACTCATGGCCAAGGCCGGCCGTGGCCAGAACAGCCCTTTTGCTTTCTAAGCTCGGCGCCCCAGACCGCATCACGGCGATTGGGCCTCTGGTGCTCCTTGGGGCCCCGACGGGAGGGACCCACACCGCGGGGAGGCTCGGGTGAGAAGCGGGGGCCTGGAGAGCTGCGGCGGCATGGCCCGGACGACGGAGGCACAGCCCCCCCCCCCCTTCCCTGTGTCCCTCCGCCCGTCTCCGCTCCGGCGCCCGTCCGCCCTCCCCGCCCCTCTCCCCCTCCCCCGCCGCCCGCCCCCCCTCGCCCCCGCCCTCCCCGCCCTCCCCCCGCCCTGCCGCCCGCCGCCCCCCCTCACTGCCGTCCCGCCCTCCCCGCCCTCCCCCGCACTCTTGTGCGTGGGTCTGGTTGACCCAAAAGGGGGTCCAGCTATTGTGGGTTGCGCTAGAGTTGGGGCATGCAATACATTCCTGGGCGCAGATGTATTGCTGCATTCCGCGTGCAAGTCATTAGTTGCAAAACTATTCTATGGCGCAATACATTTGCAATACCATTGCCCAAAATCCATTGCACCACCGCCTTTCAGCTGGACCCCCTTTTGGATCAACCAAAGTGGGGAGGGGGGGGGGAGGCGCGGGGGGGGGGCGGGGCATGGGCATGCGGAAGGGGCCCCCCGCGGGGAGGCGGACCAGCTCAGCTTCCCGAGCTGCGCGGCCTTCGACCCGGAGGGCGGCCTGCTGGTGGCCGACACCAACAACCACCGGGTGCAGCGCTTCGCCCCGGGCGAGACGATCGGCGTGACGGTGGCCGGGTCGGCGGAGTGCCGCCGGGGCGCGGGCCCCGCCGAGCTGGACATGCCCACGGGCATCTGCGTGGACCCGCGGGATGGTTCGCTGCTGGTGGCGGACCGGTGCAACGCGCGGCTGCTGCGCTTCCCGCGCGGCTCCCGCGCGGGGGACCGCGGCGAAGTCGTAGCCGGCCCTGGCGCGCTCTCGCGGCCCTGGGGCGTCTGCGCGGGCCCAGGCGGCGAGGTGCTCGGGAGGGCTGCTCCCCAGAGGAGGAGGAGGAGGAGGAGGAGGAGGAGGAGAGGAGGAGGAGGAGGAAGGAGGATCGTGTTTCTTTATTGCTTGGGGCATAAGTAATGGACATTATAGCCCCCGCCCCCCCCCCCCCCCCCCCCCCCAGTATAAAGTAACGCCCCTCCCCCCCCAGTGCGCTCTGGGCACTGCCGCCGTGCGCTTCGGGATTCGCATCGGCGTCCGCATAGGAATCCGCATAGGAGGAGGGAGGAGGAGGAGGAGAGGAGGAGGAGGAGGAGGAGAGGAGGAGGAGGAGGAGGAGGGGAGGGAGGAGAGGAGGAGGAGGAGGAGGAGGAAGAGGAGGAGGAGGAGGGAGAAGAGAAGAACGTCGCGTGGCGTTTAGCTGTCCGCATCAGATCCTCACCTGCATGCTCGTTCTACCTGTCCTGTGCACGCAAGCACTTTAGTGTACACCAGCGCTGCGTGCACGCAGATGTTGTAGTGTAGACAGGCGCTGTGGTGTGCACAGGCGCTGCGGTGCACGCAAGCATTGTGGTGTACACAGGCGCTGTGTAGCACATGGTTGCTGCGGTGTTACATATTCGCTGTGGTGTACACCGGCGCTGTGGTGCACGCAGGCATTGCGGCGTACATATGCGCTGCGTCGCACACGGCTGTTGCGATGTACGCAGGCGCTGTGGCGTACACGCGCGTTGTGGTGCTGTGGTGCACTCAAGCGTTGTGGTGTACACAGGCGCTGTGGGGCAGGTCGCCACATACATGCTGCTCGCGTCGTCGTCGGCGTCGTCGCTCGTCGCTCGTCGCTCATCGTCGTCGTGCGCGCGGGCGCTGCTGTGGTGCCTGAGCCACACGGCGGGGGAGAGGCGTTACATTATGCCCCCCCCCCATGGCCTCCCCTCCCCCCCTTTGTAATGCTTATTATCGCCGAAAATAAACGCGCTCGAGGGGGATCCCGAAGAGGAGGAGGAGGAGGAGGAGGAGGAGGAGGAGGAGGAGGAGATACCAACAACCGCTGCTCGTCCTGTAGAGCCCTCGTCGCTACGGCTGGGTTCTCCTCGAAGTTGTGACCAGAACGCCCCCCGCGAGACGTCGGCAGAGTGGCGGTATCGGTACCTGTTGGTCCCCTCAGCCCCGGGCCCCTGGGGGGAGGGGCGGGCGGCGGGGCACTTCCCCTGGCAGCCCCAAGTCGACCCCCGTCGCGGTGCGCCGACGATGCGAGGTTGGCCTTCGTCGCAGGGGGAATCCCTCAGCGCTCACGATCGAGGCTGACCAGTAGGTCGACCCTGCCGAATTCAGGGTACTTTTGTGCCCCGTGTTTCGCGGCCCATGCCTTCTGCCTTCCTATGGCAATGTGGCCCTCGGAAGGGTCTTGTGTCCTCTGGCGTGTCCTCTCCAATCAACCTCGACTGTATTCCCAGAGCGCGGAGTGCGGGAGGCGCGCCCGCACGGACTTGGCGGCGTGGTTGGCGGCCCTATATTGCCAAGAGGGAGTGCAGGAACGGGGCCGTGCGGCCACCTCAACAGCAACAGCGCATTGCCAGCAGGTGTCCCTGAAGAGCCTCTTCGTCTTCCGTTCACGCGGCAACACACCAGAACGACAGCATTGGCTCGAAGATGATCCTTCAGTCTTCCAGCTGAGATCTCGCACTTCTGGCGGGGAGCGCACAGTTTAGGAAAGAAGAGGGGAGTTGAGCATGCAGGGAGCCCGCCCTGGAAGACGGGCTGGGCTGTTCAAGGCGTGCCGCAGCCGAATGTTCTCTTGGCAGGAAGGCCCAGGCAGTTGGCAGACAGGCAGTTGGCAGACAGCCTCGACTGGCGCCTGCGTGCTCGGCTCCGCGAGGGAACGGTTCATTCATATTGGCGGCGCCTGGCAACCTCGCTACTACTCTAACCAGCTGCCCCTCGGCTGGCTGCTCGTCTCCCCCCCCCCCTGGTCGGGCGACGGCTTGCCATGCAGTGCGAACGCGGGGCCCGTAGTGGCCCACCTCAGAGCCCGTAAGAGCGGATATGTGATCGAGTGGATCGGCCCCATGGCAGCAAGCAGCACAACACGGCCAGGACCCCTCAATCTCCCAAATGTTTCCAATACATGATCCTCCTCGCACCCCTCAATTCCCCCCAAACACGTACGCCGCTCCCAGTCATGTAAAAGAGTAACAGGCCCCCTTTTGTTTGCGAGGCCACCCTCATCTCCCGAACGCTCGCATAGCACGAAACCCATGTGGGGCGTTCCTGAAAGGACCTCGCCTTCGAGGGATCGAGAAGTTGACATCTCTTCCTCGGCGGAAGGTTGGCGGGAGTAAAACGATGGCGGCTCCACTTGCGAAACTCAGCGGAAGACCAGCAGAAGCGCGTCCCCGAGAGAGGTCCGCATTTTCGGAGACAGGAATTTTGTTTCGAGCTTGACTTCAGGAGCAACGTTAGTGCGGACAGGCTCGGGGGAGAGCGCATCGACCCTCAATCTCCCATGCATCGACGGTAGGTGCCCGATAGCCCACCCCGCCCAAGAGCGTGCAGGTTCGCCATCGGGGGCCCGTAGCCGATCTGTGGGCGATGTATCGCCGATTCCAGTTCGGTGTGTCCCCCCTGAGCTGGTTCCCCCCGCATCGTTCCCCCTCTCTCTCTCTCTCTCTCTCTCTCTCTCTCTCCCGGAGGAGGAGGAGGAGGAGCCCCAAGGGCATGTGTTAGCCCAGTGCGTGTGTGTGTGTTTTTGTGTGTGGGTGTGTGGGTGTGTGGTGTGTGTATGTGTGTGTGTGTGTGTTGTGTGTTGTGTGTGTTGTGTTGAGTGTTGTGTGCTGTGTGCTGTTGCGTGCTGTGTGCTATGAGCTGTGTGCTGTGTGTTGTGGTTTGTGTGTTGCGTGTTGTGCGTTGTGCGTTGTGTGCAGTGTGTCATGTGTTGTGTGTTTTGTGTTGTGTGGTGTGTGTTGTGCATTGTTTGTTGTGTGTTGTGTATTGTTTGCTTTGTGTTGTGTGGTGTGTGGTATGTGGTGTACTGAGCTGTCTGTATCGTGCTGTGCGTTATGAGCTGTCTGTTTCGTGTTGTGGGTTGTCTATTGTGTGTTGTGTGTTGCGTGTTGTGTGGTGAGTTGTGTGTTGTGAAGTGGCTGTGTTGTTGCGCGCTGTGGTTTGTCTGTTGTCTGTTCTCTATTGTCCTATGTTGTCTGTTTCTTGTTGTTTGCTGTCTGTGTTGTGTGTTGTGTGTTGGTGTGTGTTGTGTTTTGTTGTCTGCGTTGTGTGCTGTGTGTTGTGTATTGTGTGTTGTGTGTTTTGTGTTGTGTGTTGTGCGGTGTGTGTATGTTTTGTGTGTGCAGTGTGAGTTGTGTTATGTGTTGTGTGTTGTGTGTGCTGTGCGTTGTGTTGTGTGTGGTGTGTGCTGTGTGTTGTGTGTTGTGTGCCATGTGCCTGTTGATGTCTATGGTAGGTTGTGTGTTGTATGCAATGTGCATGTGTGATGTGTTGTGTGTTGTGTGCTGTGTGCTGTGTGCTGTGCGTTGTCTGTTATTTGGTGTATGGCGTGTGGCCACGAAGGGCAACCTGACTGCTCTCAGCGAGTGAGTCATCACCACGTGGGCATTGAATCGCTGTGGCCCGCGGGCCAGAAGGCGGACGTAGCCTACGCATAGGCCAAAAGCGTCAGGGCCACTTGGGGCCCGAGCCCGGGACGCCAGAGGAGCAAGCCGGAGCGCATGACCAGGGACCCAAACTCCCGCAGTCCCAGAGGGAGGGCCGCCAGGCGCCCCACGCCCAGCTGCCGACGAGGCCAAGCAGCGAAGGCCCTCGAGGGCCACCAGCATGCGCGCCTGAGCCTGCGCCCGTGGATGTGGGGCGCACGCCCTGCAGCAAGAGACGACTGGACCTGCTCATACGTTGGGCGGGGCTGCACTCGGCCCATGGAGGCAGTGTGCCAGGACACTCTGCCGTGAGTTGCCTGGCTGCTCGGGTCGCGTAGGCCCCACAACGCCAGCACATCACAATACCGTTCCTTCACACCAGCTCGAAGGGGCAAACTCAAACGCAGCGAAAGCGCCCTCCCCGCCCACCACCACCACTTCGTGAGACGCGGCGGCGGTGGACGACAGACAGGGAGGAGGCGGAGGCGTAGTTCCCGCTCGCGCCGCTTGAGCCGCAGGTTTCACGGGCCGAGCGTCTGCCCGCTCAGCTACGGCGGGGGCCTCATCGCCGTGTGTGTGTGTATGTGTGTTTTTGCGCCGCCACCGCTGCCCTGCACATCTCGTCGAGCACCCTCAGGTCGACGGCCGGCGGTGACGCTGCGACCTCCTCGGACGCCGTATCAGTTGGAGAAGTCGCCTGCTGGCCCTGCGACATGCTGTCCGCTTGCCGAGCCGCCTGGTCGTCCGCGTGGTCCGCGTCGGCGGCTGCCGCCCCATCGGCAGGCTGGGCGCAGGCAGCGTGGGCGGCGAGGCTCGGGAGTTGAGTGGGTGCCGCAGGCCGCGCGGCCGCCCCGAGCCTGGCGGCCTTTGCGGGCTGCAGCTGCTCGTCATGCTCAGCGGCGGCGCGTCGCCCAGCGTGGCGCCTGGCAGTCGCAGCGCTGGCCGCCCATGCCAGCGCTGAGCCCAGCTCCTCACGTGGATTGCCGTGTTCTTGCACCTCGCTCGCATGAGGTGCCGCTGCTTCGGGTCCAGAAGGCTGCTGGTCATCACCACGGCGGGTTCTCCCCCCCGGCAGACCCGCGGCGCTCGTCGCGCGAGGACTGGCGCAGCTGCCACGCGGCGTCGGCACCTGCCAACGGGCAGACGCTCGTACCCTCTCCATCGCCAGGCGAGTATCGCCATCGTCTGCATGCGCATCCACCTCGGCGCTATCGTCGGCATGTGGTGTCTGCAGCGCGGTGGTCGCCGCTGCTGCAGCGGCAGCGATGCCCATCGCCGCGCCGCCGAGCCCGCTGGCCGTGCTGCAGGCTGGGTCCTCCGCGGGGTCGGGGGTCACCTCTTTCTCCTCCACGTCGTCGTGGGTCGCCTCTTGCTCCTGCGCCTGGCGAGCTCCCGCACTATCGTAGCCCCTGCCACTGCCGCTGCTGGCAGCCTCGCCGTGCCCAGCTGGTTGTGCCAGTGTGCTGCCGGCCCCGCTGCTGCTGGCGCTGGCGCCTGTCTCCCACGGTGGAGGCGGGAGCAGGGATCGCGGCAGCGTGCCTCCTCCAGGTTGAGCAGGGTGTTGCATCACCTCCAGGAAGCCAGCGATCGCCCGAGCAATGGGTGCTTCATGCATCTCGATGCCGCCGTGGATACCGTGCCTGGCTCGCTCCTGCAGCTCCGCCATCAGCCGACGCCTTCGCGGTGCCGCTTGGAGCCAGATCGTCTCGACCATCTCGCGGAGCAGCCATTCCGAGGATGCTGCGCCCCAGGCCCAAAGTACTTCGTGCAGCGGGATGAACGCGAACCGCCGACCGAGCATCACCGCCAGGTGCGGACAGCACCAGTCAGGCCAAGTCTGCGCATCGCTCTCCGCATCCGAGAGGTCCCCCAACCAGCCTGACGCCCAGTTGATCAGCCGTGCGATGTCGTCGATGTCGAAAGCCTCGACCGTTTTCAGCATGGCCGTGGTTGTGGGCGGTCCGACAACAGCTTTGTGAGCGCTGGGCTCCGCAGTGCCACCAGGCGCCGCTGGGGCTGGCTGACCATGCGGCGCGGCGACCTGCTGTCCAGAGGCAGGTGTAGCTTGTTGAAGCGCCACTCGCCTGGCACGCTCCACCGCCTCGGTCACTCCTGGATGGCGCGGCTTCTGTCAGGCCGTGAGTCCACTCCAAATGTGGTTGCCGGCTTCGCTGAAATCCTCAGGGTCATTATCATCTTCGGCGCAGCTGCTGCTGCTGCTGCTGCCGCTGTCCGCGACAAACAAGGCGTCCTCGGTCCCCATCTCGTCAGCTTCCGCCGCGTCATCGCCGCCACGTGCAGCCTGCAGGGAGTCTGGCCCGGAGTGGCCCGGCGTCGTGCCGCGCTGGCTCGCTGGATCTTTTCCCCCCCGGCGTGTGCGCGGCCCTCGTGGGCGAGCGGGGCCCGTCGCGCTGCTCGTCCTTGACGGCGCGGCTCACGAGCGTCACACGCCCACAGCAGGGCCGCGAGTGGGCTGGGATGGCGTAGCCAGCCGGGCCAATGAGGAAGGAGGGGGAGGAGGAGGAGGAGGAGGAGGAGGAGGAGGAGGAGGAGGAGGAGGAGGAGGAGGAGGAGGAGGAGGAGGAGGAGGAGAGGAGGAGGAGGAGGAGGCGGAGGGAAGGAAGGAGGAGGAGAGGGGGGGGGAGGAAAGGAAGGAGGAGGAGGAGGAGGAGGGGAGGAGGAGGAGGAGGAGGAGGAGGAGGAGGAGGAGGAGGAGGAGGAGGCGGAGGAGGAGGGGAGGAGGAGGAGAGGAGGAAGGAAGGAGGAGGAGGAGGAGGAGGAGGAAAGGGAGGAGGAGGATGAGGAGGAGGAGGATGAGGAATAACTCGCTGAGCTGCTGCAAGAGCTCGTCGGCGGGCGCCCTGCCGTGGAGTCCCGCGACCATCTGCGGCCGCGCCCGCCTTGCGGGCGCCGAACGAGCCCAGACCGCCTCGCAGATCTCCTGCGCGAGCCGCCGTGCCTCTTGCACAACACCCGCCCGCTGCCTCAGAGGAGGAAAATGTACCCATACCGCTAGCTTGGCCTCGTTTTCGCCGTTGTGGGCCTCCTGGGAGGCCCTCGTCGCCACCGATGGATTCGCTCCGAGATTCTTGTCAGAACACACACCGGGAGAGGTCCAGGGAGTAGCGGTATTGGTACCTTCTGGTTCCCCCACGAGGTGCACGCCGTTGAGCGCAGCTGTGACATCGTCGGTGCAGTCGTGCATCCACTGTGCGGCACGCTGGCCATCTCGTCCCGCAGGCCTGAGCACAACGTCGCCGCGTCCTGCCCAAGATACTGCGTGAGGCATTTCACTTGCAGCTCAGCCTCGTGGAACTGCGAATCGGTCTTGCACGAATTCGCCGACGGCTCTCGACGCCCGCAGCCACGCAGAGGGCCCGCAGCATGCACCATACCAACTTGGGATGCTGCTGTAAATGAAGCCACTGGGCAGTCTCTGCCGCGCATCGCCGCGGAGTGCACGGGTTACCCGAGAGATGTTGCGGTCGCCCCCGCCCTCCTGGCCCTCGTCCTCACCCATCATTCCCCTCGGGGTCCCTTCCCCTCCCATCGGCCCGCTCCCCCTCCCCTCCCCTCCGCCTCCCCCTCCTCCCCCATCGGCTTCTACCCTCCCCCCCCCCCCGTTGCCCCCCGTTGCCCCTCCTTCTACCCTCCCCCCCGTTGCCCCGTGTGCCTGGACCAGCCGCGCCATGATTTACTGGTGGCACCAGCCGATCCAGTCGTCCTCCGCGTCGCCCTCCTCGCGCTGCCCCAGGTCGCAGGCCCAGCGCTCGCTCCAGAGCGTCACCAGGCCAGGGATGCCTGCCTGCTCCTGCCGCGCGGTGCCGCATGCAGGGTCGTCGCTGCTGTCCTCAGGCGGCTCGGTGCAGATATTCGCGCCGTCGCTGAGCGTCGCGAAGTCATCGAGGCAGGGCCGCAGCTCATCCTCGTCCTGCACGACCTCCTCGTCAACGACCGCCAAGTCGCCGCCGATGGTCGCTTCGGCAGCTGTCCGGCACGGGCCCACCTGTCCCCCGCCTCTGCTTGCCGTGCTGGGTCCTGCCGACCTCGGCGACGAGGCACCCGCCACGGTCGGTAACCTCTGGGCCGAAGCTTGAGCAGTGCACGCCGTTGCGGGGCCGGCATCAAGGGAAGAGAACACACCCCGACCCTCATGATTGGCGCCTGCTAAACGGCCCTGTGCGTTTACTAAAAAGGCTTCCCTCTTCGATTTCTTCTTTGGATGCGTTTGCTAAACGGCTTCGCTTGTCGGGGTGTTTATGATGCGTGGGTGGCTTCCTGTTCTTGATCGCAGTCTGACCAAGATCGTGCTTCACCTGCATATCCGTGCTGCTCAGGCTGCCCGATGCTACCCATGCCAAACTACTGAACGAGAGTTCGCATTGTTGGGATCGCAGCATGCCTTCACTTTGCACAGTGTCGCGAGGTTGCAGCCCTTTTGGTCCAGCAGTGAGCAGCTCACCTTGCACCATCACACCACCCGCTGCACTGCTCAATGATGATCGTACCTCCACGAGGGTCATAGCACTACATCTGGACCTCGCGACGCCCACTCTCTGCCGCGGCACGCTTCCCTCACCGCCATTAGCTTCCTCTCCGGGTTGCGCGGCAGTGGGCCCACGTCGCATGTCAGAGCCCTCTTTCGCCACGGGGGCGATCGGCGATCGCACTGCCGCCTCTGTCACCTTGCCGATTTCACTGTGATCTCTTGGGGCACTTGTACGGGTGCCCCCAACGTCTGAACCACCCCAGGTAGCCGATCCTGCCGTGCGCGTCGCGCTCGTCCTCGTGCTGCTGTGCCTGGCGTCCGCTCCTCCAGCTCGGGCGATGGCTGGGGCATCGGCATCCCTCCGTGGAGGGCGAAGCATAGCGTCTTCGCAGGGGCGTCGGCAACCCCTCCGTCAAGGGCCCTGTGTTTCTTGGGTGCGGGTCATCAGCCAACCCTCCCTCGAGGGCCTCGCTCCGCTGAGCAGGGGCTTCGACCACTCCTCTTTCGAGGCTGGGCGCAGCATCAGAGGCAATGGCATCGGCCACCCCTTCGTCAAGGGCCTCGCTACACTCTTCAGCGTGGACTTCGGCCACCCCTCCGTCGAGGGCCATGCTTATCGATGCGTCGGCGTCGTCCCTGGTCGCGTTTGGGGAAACGGTCATGTCGGGGACCGGCTCGCCCACAGCCTCAAGGCCTCGTCTCTGGCGGGGTTTGGGGGAAATGGCCATGTCGGGGACCGGCTCGTCCGTGGCCCCAAAGCCTCGTCCCTGGCGGCGGTTGGGGGAAACGGCATGTCGGGGACCGTGTGTGTGTGTGTGAGTGTGTGTGTGTGTTTGTGTCTGTGCGTGTGTTTGTGTGTTTACCCCGTGATGCTCCACCGATAGCACGCAGCCTGCTTCGGCCACCTATGGAACCGCCCATGTCGTATTGGACGGCCTCGGTGGACAAGCACATGTTGGCGCTCACACGCATTCTGTGGCTCATCGATCCTGAATCCTGGAGGAGCCCCTCCCGCCAAGGTGTTCGTGTCCGACGAGCGCCGGGCCGTGGTGCTCCGCCTGGAGCTCGAGCCCCTCGGCCGCCAGGCGCCGGCAGGGCCCGATGCCTGGGGAACAGGGAACTGTCTCGCCCCAAGTCCTCATCATTCCTCTCTCTCTCTCTCTTTCTCCACCCATTTTCGAGATGAGTAACTCCTCGCTGACACACACCCAGACGTTGCGCCTGAGACTTTCGCACCATGTCTGATCCTGAATCTTGGAATTTGCAGCAGCTTTACGGATGGAGGACGGGTGGTTATTTAACAGTAGCTCTCGCCTCAGTGACTCGCACAGTCGTTCTGAACATGTGTAACCTTTGTCCAGGATGGAAGACAGGTCTGTTTTCAACGTGTCGCTCTCGACTTAGCCCAGCGCGCATTCGCTTTAAAATATCGCATCAGCTTTAAATTTGGAGGGCGGCTCCTTTTCAACATGTGGTTCTCGCTTCATCGCCGCGACGTAATACAGGTTGTATGCGCGTCTAGGGCTTGCATGGTTCGAGTTCAGGCATGGTCTTCTGGCACGATATTATATTTAACAGGACGCAGCAGTCATGTTGATCTGCGGTGTTGAAGTCCCGAGAATGAAGTTTTGCGCGGTTTAGGATTGTCACGACGCACCAGTCACGTTGATCTGCGGCGCTGAAGTTCCAGGTATTTTGTTTTGTCACCATTGAGGATTCTCCAAGGCTGTCTTCTAATGGGCCGACTGCCGCAATCAACATCAATTCTTGCAGGGCCTTACGAGCAGGGAACTCGGAGGGAAGGTAGGGAGGGTTTATTGCAACATCGCTGATGCGTCTTGAGTTCACACTGGTCCTCCTCCTCCTCCTCCCCAGACATTCTCGCCTCGTTTTCGGCCTGCGGTGGGCCCTCGCCGGGCCTCGGGACCTCCCAAAAACGACTCGGAAAGCAAAACCGGCCCTGGGCAAAGCGTCGGGACATCTGGGGACCGCGTACTGAAACAAAAACAAGACATCGCATGACTGGGTCTCTTCCTCCTCCGTCTCCTGCTCCTCCCCATCACGTTCCTCCTCCCTCCTCGCTCTTCACGCCTCTTTCGAGCTTTCGGGATGCGGACATTTCGGTCTCCAGAGGGCTGCCCTCGCCCACCGCAGAGGGTATGGCAACGGGGACGGGGCACAAGACGGAAGATGGGCCACGACGTTGCAGTCTGGGCGCCCCCCCCCTTCCTCGGAGAGGCAGCGGCCCCTATTCCTCCTCCTCCTCCTCCTCCTCCTCCTCCTCCTCCTCCTCCTCCTCCCAGGCGTGCAGAGGCCTCCGGAGACCACTCGGGGCCACGGAGACCTCCAGAGCTGGAGACGTCCTCCACCGCCATCCCCCCCCTCCCCTTCCTCCTCTCCTCCTCCTCCTCCTCCTCCTCCTCCTCCTCCTCCTCCTCCTCCTCCTCCTCCTCCTCCTGTGGCTGAACGTCGGCAGCTTGAGGTGAGGCCGCCTGAATCCTCCCCTGTTCCTCCTTCCTCCTCTGTCTCTCTCTCTGCCCCTCCTGGCCTCGACCTCCCACCTGCCCTCCCTCAGAGCGTCAGATTTCAGGAGCTTGTGGCGCGAGGGGTAATTCGTGACGTACGTGCTGCAGGTGCGGACCGCTTTGTCAGTGTGGAGCGGGCGGGGGCTGAGGGGGGGGATGAGGATCGTGTGCTGGCCGCCACGGAGGATCGTCGTGAGGGGCGGGCCGTGGCATCCATGGAGGTGCGCTCGGGGCCCCCTGTGAGATCCCGTGGTGGCCTGAATTCGCGTCGTCGAAACTCCAGATAGTATGGTTGGCGCCGCAGGCAACCTCCGCAGGGGCAATTCCCTGCTATGGAGGTGCGCCTTCGGGCCAGGGGGGGTGTTTTCCCCCCAGCGGGGGCCCCCCATAAATGTTTGGATTCTGACAGGGTATAGCCCTGCGCAAGGACTCGCTTGCCGACCGTTTTAAGGTCTCCAGTTTTGTTTTCCCATTCCGTTGAAGCAGTCCCCAGCGTTTCTTGGTCTTGGTCTTGGTCCTCCTCCTCCTCCTCTCCTCCTCCTCCTCCCCGTCCTCCTCCTCCTCCTCATCATCATCCTCCTCTTACGTTGGACCGATATTAGGAGCGAGCCTGTTGCGTTTGTGAAGTGCAGCATGGAAACAAACAAGTAACAACTCGGGTCAAAAGGGTACCTGGCGGGCGCCGCAGAAAATGAAGTAAAAGGAGACGAAGCTAAGAGTAGTGTGAAGAGTAGGCGCCCGCCAGGTCTTCGAGGTAGGCACTAGCCTTAGTCACAAAGCAGCCTAAGAAGTTAAGCGTAAGCCCCCTTGTAATCAAAGTTAGTGTCTCTTCGGTGCCAGAAAACGGTAAAGTGCAAGGAGCTACGCTGAGCAGCAAGTGAATGAAGTGACGTGCTTAAGCATGTCCGCCCAACCCACCCATCATGTGCATCGCCACCCACACCTCCCCCATCTGTGACGTCCTACGTGGGCAGACTGCTCACGTGTGGACAAGTACAAAAATGAGTGGGTATTGCTGTTTAACTGCTGCGCAGAAGTAACTCTGCAAAATGCTGCTACCTGGCTGTGTCCGAGGCTGCATGTGAGATACTTCGAAGCTTAATCAGACCCGAAACATGAGAACGTGTGTGAGTGGCAGGCACATGTTTTGTTGGCTGGCCTCGCTGTGGCATTTGCAGATGCCTTGCTTAAAAGTGTTGCAGTGACGCTTCGTAGTACCCCCGAGTGCAGCTGCCTGGCTGTGTCCGAGGCTGCTTGTACGACTTCGAAGCTTAACTGAGTCTGAAACAGAAGGGCGTGTGTGAGGCTGGCACATGTCTTGCTAGTTGGCCACGCTGTGGCAACTACGAACTGCCTTTCTCAAGCGTCTTGCAGTGAGTGTACTGAAAAAGTGGTTGTCGCCAAAGTGCTGCTGCGTGGCTGTGTCCGAGGCTGCTTGCGTGAACATCAAAGCTTATGTGAGTGGCTAGCACATATATTGCTGGCTGGCAGCGGGATGACAAGTGCACGGGCTGCCGGGGTTGAAAGTGCTTGCAAGTGACGGTTAATGGTACCTTTCACAGAAGTAACCACGCTCATACGTTATCTAAAATAATGTGCGATCCTAGGACCGCTACCCAGGTTTTAGCAGAGTAACCCCAGACCTGTACAGGGCGCCTCTGCCGCCCAGCCACCACCATAGCGGAGTATCATGATGGTGTATCGGGGGGTTCGTTGATGGGAGAAGCCTGTATCAGAAGCCGCGGTGACAAACGATGAAGATTTGTTGTAGAGGTTGCTTCCAAACGTGCGTGCGCATGGCAAGCGCGGAAGGATAGAGTAGTGAGGTGAGATGATGCTGGGGAGTTGCTAGTACACGGGTGCTGGGAGCATGCAGCCATCGATGTGTACTAAGAAAGTGACAGTCGCAAAACTGTTGCTGCCTGGCTGTGTCCGAGGCTGCATGTGCAATACATCGAAGCTTGACTGAGTCCTGCAATTGAACTAACTGAGCATGTGTGAATGGCTGGCGCATGTCTTGCTGGCTGGCCACGTAAGTCATAAGAAACATCGGTTCAATGCTGAGAGATGCTGAGCAATCTTATATGTGACAGAATGTGCGCTTCAAGGGCCGCTACCCAGGGTTTTGTAGGGCAACCCCAGACCTGCAGCGGTCGCATCTCCCCGACTGTCACCCAGCCACCATCGTAGCTGAAAGTGATGGTGTTGTGGCTGGGTGTGCTGATGGAAGCAGCCTGTAGCATAAGCCAGGGTAGCACAATAACCACGGTAACACATGAGGTGGTCTGATCTACAGGCTGCTTCCAGAGTGGAATGGCTTGCACGAAAGAATCGAGTGGTGAGGTGTAGAGAGAAAATGTAGCATGCGCGAACAAAAGGTGCAATCCTAGGGCTGCTACCCAGGGTGTTGTAGGATATCCCTGAACTTGCATGCTATGATATAAAATACACCATCGTGTCACAGAGCCGCGCGGGAAAGGGAGGACAGGTGTATTGCAGGTCAGCTGTCTGTATAGACGGTCTTGCTGCTTGCATGTCCGTGCTACCTAATCAGTAGGGTCCTTCTGTGGTAATTGGCCCACACGGAGTACTGGTTGTGGATGCTGCGGTAGTCTGCGGTACTCTCCAGGACGAGCAGCGGTTGTTGGTATCTCCTCCTCTTCCTCCTCCTCCTCCTTTTCGTCCTCCTCCTCCTCCTTCTCCTCCTCCTCCTCCTCCTCCCCCTCCTCCTCCTCCTCCTCCTCCTCCTCCTCCTCCTCCTCCTCCTCCTATTCCTGGACATCCTCCTCGTCCTCCTCCTCCTCCTCCTCCTCCTGCTCCTCCTTGTCTTTTCCTCCGCCCGCCTCGCTTTTCACGCCCCCTTCGAGCTTTTCCTCCACGCCTCCATCCCCCTCCGCCCTGCTCCGACCCCGAGAGGGGGTGCCCCGCCCCGAGGATGGCCCGATCGGTGGCGTCCGGGAGCCCCAGGGAGGCAGTGCGTTGGCGCCCTCGGCCTCGGCGGCACTCCAAGCTTGATGCAACTCGCGGGGGATCAGATTCAGCATTGGCGCTGGTATATCCGCGGTCGAAAAACCAGCCCAATCGGGCAGAGCCCCGCTGAATCCCAATCGGGCTCAAGGACCCCCCAGTCGGGCTGAACAGCCCCTGCCCGCTTCCACGAGGGCCTCTCAGGAGTTGCCGCCGAACCAGGACTCCCTTTCAAGGGAGGAAAAACCACCCGGACCCGAGAACTGGCGCTTTCTGAATGGCCTTCACTGAACAGCCCTGCCCTGTTCGATTCCTCCTGTGGGTGCGTTTACTACACGGCTTCGCGTGCTAGGGTGCTCAATATGGGGGTGCTCTATTCCTGTCCCTCGCCCAGGCGACGCCGCTCGCCCCCGCCGCCGCGGCCGCGCAGCCTGCGGCCGCGCAGCCTGCGGTCGCGCAGCCTGCGGCCGCGCAGCCCGCGGCCGCGGTGCCGCGGCCACCAGCCGCGGTCTTCGCGCCGCCGCCGCGCGCCGCTCCGTGCGCCATGGGGGGCCTGGACTGAGCGGGACGTCCCTCTCGCGGGGCGGCCTCTCGCGGGGCGGCCTCTTCGCGGTGGCCAGGCCTCCGCGGCTAAGCGGGGGCCTTGGCACTGCCCGCCGCGGGCCTCAGCCTGCCCTCCCCCCCTCCTCCTCCTCCTCTCTCCTCCCTCCTCCTCCTCCTCCTCCTCCTCCTCCTCCTCCTCCTCCTCCTCCCGTCGGAGGGGGCGGGGGGGGTCGGGTGGAGAGCAAGTGTCGATGGCACGCCGCCGTTGGGAGCCCGTCAGCGTGTTCCTCCGTCGTTTGTGTCCGAGGTCCTGGTGCTCGTCTTCAGCAGCAGCACGCGGGGTCGTGCCCCGACGGCGGCGAGTCCTCGATACGGTTTCGCTCCCTCCTCCTCTCGGCCTGACGGAGAGTTTTTCGGGAAGTTCTCACCGCTGTTGTGCCTGGGGATGCGTTGGGGGAGAGCTGACTCCCGAGGTCTCCTGTGGGCTCGCCTCCCCCCCTTCCCTCTTCCTCTTCAGTCCCTCTCCCCTGTCCAGCTGCCCGCTGCAAGTTCAGCCACTGCGGCAGCACTTCACTCTGTGTCTCATCTCGCGATTTTTTACGGGGCTTTCATGAGGCCTAGCAGGGTCGTCTTGGAGCTGTCTTGGGATCTTGTGAGCTCCCTTGGGGGACCCTTTTCGAAACTATTGGTACCGTCTTGGGCCGTCGTTGGCCTCTCTAGGCCGTCTCCGTCTTGGTGGTGTAGCGTGAGCTCTCTTGGGGCTGTCCTGGGTTTCATGCTTGTTGCTCTCATTTTGGACCCCCCCGAGGTAACCTTGGGTACACTTTGAGCCGCGCGGTCCGCCAAGAAAATCTCTTAAGCTGAAGTCGATTTTCATTGGTGTGGCCTGTTTGCCCGCCCCTGGGTGTTTTGCAGACCTATTTGCTCACATGTGGCGTCTCTTCGGGTATTGAGGGACGGTGGTGGCTACCCCTGAGGCAGTGTTGGGCTCTCGTCGGCGGCCATGGTGGCTTCCCAGGCCCGTCTTGGAAGTCCTGCAGAGCATTGGGAAGCCCCCAGAACGCGTCGGACCGCCGAGGGTGCCTCGGAAAGAGGCTTAGAAGATTTACGCCAACTCTGCCAGATAGCACGTGGTGTTCCCCATTTCTCAACGTGCGAAGTGTCGCGGTGGCTGATGAATAACTCCCCCTCGTCGAACCACCAGACATTCGGTAGGGTGGGCTGGCGTTTCGTCTGATAGCTTCTTGCTACCCGCCTGAAGCGTGAAAATCTTCAAGCTGCACGGATGGTGGGTGGGTCGTTTTACCAATATCGTTCTCGCTTGAGCGCCGCGCATATTCTTGCGGCACGAACGGAATGGGTACGGAAAGATTGGGTACGATGCCCAACAGCAGTTCCTGTTCATTTTGAACAGGACTCGCTGTCCGCGCCGCCGCGGCCTGTGTCCATTTGAAACAGAAGGCCGCTTGCCAAACTGCGGCCGCTTTTGGTTTGGGACAACATTTGTTGTTGGGCATTGTACCCATTCTTTACGTACCCATTTCGGGCGTCCAAATTCTTTTTCAAAAGTTTGCAATAGCTTCAAGGATGGAGGACAGGTGGTTTTCAGAATGTAGCCATCAATAGCTCCAATCGCTACAACATCAGAGTGAGGGGGCTGAACCGAACGGTCATTCACTGTCCCTGGGTGCGTGGCTGAAGTGGAATTCCGTGATGCGGATTCTTGTTGTTGTTTGTTGTTTGTTTGTTGTTGTCGTCGTCCCACCCGCGACCCGCCCCACGACCCACCCGCGACCCACCCCGCGACTCACCCGCGACCCACCCGCGACCCAGCCCGCTACCCACCCGCGACCCACCCCGCGACCCACCCGCGACCCACCCGCGGCCCACCCGCGACCCACCCCGCGACCCGCCCGCGACCCACCCCGAGACCCCCCTGGCGACCCACCCGCGACCCACCGGCGACCCACCTGCGACCCACCCGCGACCCACGCGACCCACCCGCGACCCACCCACCCGCGACCCACCGCGACCCACCCGCGACCCACCGCGACCCACCCCGCGACCCACCCAAAATTTTCGGCGCCCGCGGCGGGTTTCTTTTGCATTCGTTCCAGGGGGAGAACCTGCGACCCACCCGCGACCCAAACCGCGCCCGCGACCCACCCGCGACCCACCCGCGACCCACCCCGCGACCCACCCAAAATTTTCGGCGCTTGCGGCGGGCTTCTTTTGCATTCGGTACGGGTGGAGAACCTGCGACCCAACCCGCGACCCAAACCGCGTTCAGTGTACAAGTCAAAATTTTCGGCCCTTGCGGCGGGCTGTTTTTGAATTCCTTCCAGGTGGAGGTGGAGAGCCCGCGACCCACCCGCGACCCAAACTACGTTCACTGAACAAGCCAAAACATCGGCGCCTGCGGCGGGCTGTTTTTGCATCCGTTCCGGGTGGCCCACCAGCGATACCCCCCGCGCTGAATTTGTCAGAGCACGCAAATCGGCGCCTGCGGCGGGCTTGCTCGCATTGGTTTCGGACAGCGCCCTCGTGCCACTCCCTCGATCCGGCCCACGTTGACTCTACAACAGCACATCGGCGCCTGCGGCGGGGCTGTGTCTGAACACGTTCATTGACAATACAGTTGCCTGCTGCCGCGGAGGAGGGGAGGAGGAGCAGGGCGAGGAGCAGGAGGAGGAGGAAGACGACGACGACGACGACGACGACGACGACGAGTACGAGGACGAAGAGGAGGCCGACGACGAGGGCGAGGAGGAAAAGGAGGGGGGGACGGACGGGGACGACGAAAAAGGAGGGAGGAGGGGGAGGAGGAGGACGACGACGACGGAAAGGAGGAGGGGAGAGGATCGGGATTGGGGAGGAAGAGGAGGAGGAGGAGGAGGAGGAGGAGGAGGAGGAAAAGGAGGAGTAGGAGAAGGAGGAAGAGGAGGAGGAGGAGGAGGAGGTGGAGGAGGAGGAGGCGGACGACGACGACGACGATGAGGACGAGGACGCGGACGAGGAAGAGGAGGAGAGGAGGAGGAGGAGGAGGAGGAGGAGGAGGAGGAGGAGGAGGAGGAGGAGGAGGAGGGCGCCATCGACAGGGAAGGTGAGGGCCACGAGGTCCGCCGGTTCGACGCCCGCGTCGCCCGCGCTCGCCCCTTCACTCTTATCCTCAATTGCGGGGTGCTACGTATTCTAGACGCTTCGCGTAACCCCACCAGCGACACCCGTGGAGCAAGCCCAGAGCGGACACAGCTGCCCCGCCGGTGTATACCGACTACAGGGAGACCGCTCGGTCGGGAGCATCCAGCTCTGGAGCCCCATGGCACCCAAGGCCGCCCTGGGAAGGGTGGGACCGCCAGGAGAGTTCATGGAGAGGCGCCGAGTGGGGTACCAGGGAAAAAAGGACCGCCCCGAAAGGTGACGCGCAATACGCCGACAAGCGACAGCGAGGAAGGGAGCACGAACGCTGGTAACGCGGCGACAGGCCTGACAAGAGTTCCCTGCCCATAGCAGGGCTGGCACAGCCCAGAGCCCCCAAGGCGCACGGCCTAGAGCTTTCTTGGACAAGGGGCGCTCCCTTCATGAAAGGCAGGCTGCACCCGTACACCGCGGATACCCTCCCGAGGTGTGGCGTTTCCTCCTCCTTTGGCGTCACCACTTCTGTCGAACGTCCTGCGGCTATCGGCTGCCCTCTTTCTCTCCCTCCTGGTGCTTACAAGTCCTGCGGCTGTCGGCCGCTACCCCCCTTTTCCTCGTCGCCTCAGTTGCACACAAGTCCAGTGGCTATCGGCTGCTACCCCCCTTTTCCTCGTCGCCACAGCACAGTGCCTGAGAGGCACGGCTATCACGGGTCCCGCCTCGCGCACGCAGTGTCAGTTGGGGCTGGCCCCAGAGCCGAAGGATTCTCACTTGGCGGCCACGTTCCTGACGGCCCACCCAGTGATGGGGTTCGTTTCACCGCAGTGGCAGGCCGCGGCCTCGTTTCCCGTGCTACCTCCGGGGAGTGAGGTACACCCCCCACGCTGCGCTAGACACCCACGGCCCCCGTGGGCTCGTAGCCCGTGCGGTCGGCTGAAATAATCCCACCCACGGTTTTGGTCGCTTTGCCCGCCCGTGGAGGACCTGGTCGACTCGCTGAAGGCGTCTCCCCATCTGTCCTCGCCTGCAGTGGATGGCTCTGGCCACGGACTTGTGCCACCTCCTGGGTCCGAGGGGCACTACGCTGCGCCTAGATACCCGCGGCGTCCCGTGGGTTCCTGCCCCTGCGGTAGGCTGAAATAACCCCACCCAGGTTCTTTCCCGCGTTGAGTGCGGGACGTGGTGCAGAGGCAACTGGCTGCAGGCCCCTCCTCGAGCTTCCACCCAGGTACTTTGCCCGCGCTGAGTGCGGGCCGTGGTGCAGAGCCCGCTGGCTGTGGCCCCCTCTCGTGCTCCACCATTTGAAGTCAAGCTGTGTGCTAAGTGGCTTCCCCCCTTCGTCGCCGTTGGGAGTGATCATCACTGCGTTAGACCCCCGCAGCCTCGTGGGCTTGTAGCCCGTGCGGTCGGCTGAGATAATCCCACCCACGGTTTTGGCCGCGTTGCCGGCCCGCGGAGGACCGGGTCGACTGGCTCAAGGCGTCGCCCCATCTGTCCCTGCATGCAGTGGATGGCTCTGGCCACGGATTTGTGCCACCTCCTGGGTTCGAGGGGCACTACACTGCGCATTGGTACCCGCGGCATCCCGTGGGTTCCTGCTCCTGCGGCCGGCTGAAATAACCCCACCCAGGCCTTTGCCCGTGTGAGTGCGGGCCGTGGTGCAGAGGCAACTGGCTGAAGGCCTCTCCTCGTGCTTCACCGGTTGAAGTCTAGCTGTGTGCCAAGTGGCCTCCCCCCCGTCGTCGATGTTGGGAGTGATCGTCATGCTCGATGACTTATACGCACTGGGTGCCACGTGAATGAGTCCGCTGCGCTCTAGGCCTCCTGTGCTCCGTTCCGCCCCCTTTTTTCGGTGCTGCGCCCCTTGTGGCCGCTTGGGTA